TAACCAATAGGAGAGCAGAAGTATGTATCTAGCTAGATACCATGCATGTTTTTGTTGGTATGATTGAAAAAGGTCTCCAGACCACATTCTTTCCCTATAAACACAAGGCTAAAACACATTTTTGAGGCTTCTCTGATGTCTAAAGCCCTGAGGTGTTAATGCTGCAGCAGTGTTCAGCTCACAGCTTGCAACATCCTGGCCCCTGATAAGGGAGTTCAGTGATGCCTGTTGATAACTTGCATAAATGGGAGAAAAGGATCATTCTTTTGCAAACAGAGAGGAATGAGGTTGATAGTTGGGTAGGCGCGTGTCCTCTGGCTCCAAATTGGATTCTGGCTCTTGTGGCTCAAACATATGTGGCTATACAGTCCAATAAAACTGTTAGACAGAGCATCCATGTTTCAGGTCATAGTGGTATGAGAGATGTTTAAAGAGCTGAGAGAGGCTACACTGGAATGGAAGCGAATTGTGTGTGTTTGTATCAGTTGAAGTGCTGCTAGTGGCTTCATTTCAATCCAAGAGAAGCTTTGCTGCTCAAACTAGTGAGTTAACAGACATGCTAACATTAGTACAAAGCTGAAATCGGCTTCCTATTCGCCAGCTTCTTGTTCGAATTTTCCCGTTTCACCCTAAACGGTGCAGCAGTTACATTCTGCTGTATACGAAGCTAAAGTCAGCTTCCTATACAAATTCTCTTGTTCCGCCTTGAATGGTGCAACACTTACATTCTGGCGAATATGAAGCTAAAGTCAGCTTCCTATACAAATTTTCCCAATCTACCTCACATGGTGTAGCAGTTACATTCTAGTGAATGTGAAGCCGAAGTTAGCTTTCTATATGATTTTTCCTGTTCCACCTTAAATGGTGCAGCAGTTACATTCTGGTGAATACAAAGCTGAAGTCAGCTTCCTATACAAATTTTCCCATTCCACCTTAAATGGTGCAGCACTTACATTCTGGCGAATATAAAACTGAAGAAATGCTGCACCTTTCCTGCAAGTGGGCATGGTTTCAGCACTTTCAGTGGACACGCCCCCAGAGTCTCAGAGCAGAAAATACTGCTTATTTTTTCACGATTTTAAAACCTATTAACTTAGTGATTTTTTTAATCATTAAAATTTGTTTGGGTGGTTAAAAACACATTCTGTGGTGTGACAAACTCAGAACATATATTTATTTTTGCTTTACATGGACTTTAAAAGAGCACTGACTAGAGGAATTTAGGGACAGGTTTCAGAGGGGATGTATCCTTACTAACAGCAGATTTTACAGCAATTCAGAACCAAAGGTTTTCCCCAAACATGAATTCTTGTTACAGCATCACATCTGGCTCCACAACACTCCACTTTAAGTTACATTTTAATGTATAAGAACTTCTACATAAGTAAGATTATTATTATTATTATTATTATTATTATTATTACTCAAAATTAATGAATTGTCCATTGTTAAGGCATAAAAACACCAATTACTTTAAATACAATTGCAAGTGGAAACCATACAGCATCCCATAGACTGTAGAATGTACTGACCACATTCACACAAACCAGGCTGGACTTAGGGGTGTTTGTCCACATTTGAAGTCTGTGCTGTTTGTAAGGTCTCTTTGCCAGATTAAACAAGAGGCCTTTGCTGGCCACTCTGGTACTGACAGAGCCAAGAAGAAAAGCTGCTGCCATAATATTCCCTCTGTGTGAGTCACACTGCTGAAAATTCTAATGAATCACTGAAAAAACAGAATTCCATCATTTTCAGATGTTTGAATTAAAAGAGAAACAGGATTTGCACAGATGTTTTGTCTATGTATTTTAGCTTAGATTAAAATTTTGATTGAAATAGAACCTTTATACTATAAGGAAGTTCTTCAATTCATTAATGTCCATATTAGAATTTTTAAATGTCTTTTGGTCCATCTGTTCTCTGAGCATGCCTGAGCACAAATCTTAAGAATTAGGGTCCAGGACGTCCTAATGAACCTCTTGGATCCACTGAATGTCTCAAAATTCTAGGGGGAGTGCCTTAAAATAAACTTATCATCATGTTATGTTGTTCATTAAAATAATACAGACACTCAAATACAAATTCAGTAAAAGCTCATTGTTTAGCTGCTTCAACTACGAAAAGTGGAGCTTGGTATTCTTAACAAACTAGAGCTGCAGAACTGGTCTGCCTCATGGTGGCGCAATAGCAAACTGGTTCACCCAGTTGGTCCTTCATAGCTTAGCAACAGAAACTATGCATGGGGTGCCTCTGAAAAACCAATGATGTAACAATCACACTGCTACCATTTTACTACCAAAGTTCTTTCAGCAGTGCTGTGGCTGTTTGTAGTGAGATAACAAAGCAATCTCATTTTAAAGTGTATTAACTCATAATTAAATGTGTTGCATTAAAATAAATGTGTTGCAATTAAATAATAAAAGATGAAATCTGAATGGCTGAGCAATTTAGCCATTTGCTACTGCATTAGTAGTGTCCCATCTCAAACTGCATCGCAAACTAAATAGTATGTAAAAATAGTGCATATCCCATTGGAAGTGCACTCATTAGTGTAGTCAGTGAAATACAGAAGTGTGTAGTTTGGGACGTGGCGTTAGATCAGCCAGCGAGACGCATTCAACAGCTGCTCTGCTGTGCTGCACATTAGCTGCTCATTACACATCTCCAAGAGAGAGTCTGAGGTGTTTGTTGAATAAGGATGCATTCATTGAGGTAAATTAATATATTGAGGTAAGCTGATGTTGGCTTTGTATTTGCCAACTTTGTACATTTTTAAGGCAGCTCAGTGTAACTGCAGCACCATTTAAGGATGGAACCGAATATTGAAATGAGAAGCTGATGAATAAGCTAACATCAGTCTTATATATGTTTATGAGTTTGCTATTTAAGAGCTTTGGCAGTTTTGGTAGCCACTTTTATTAGTTTTTGTAAAATGTCATATCATGTATTTGAGTTTTCTGAACTTTGGAGATATGCAGGCCATACAGATTCAGTCCATCTATCCAGCTAAACTCCTCGTAACGTGTTCTGGAGTGACTTGATAGCCAGCCAACATGGGACTCCCCGAATACCAGGGGGTAATTCATGCACTGGGTGTGATAAGACATAATACTTCCTCAGTGGTATAGTTTAATACTCAAACTCACCACTTTTACTCTGCCTGCCTCAATCAGTATGATATAGCTTCAGTTTTCAGTAAATGCTTTCATGCTTTCCTCCATACGTGTAATGCCATTAGCTTATTAGTCTTGGTTCTGCAAATGCATGTAGAGCAGGTCATTTATAATGCATGACAGATGGAATTTTGACCATGATGAGTACAGGCCATCTCATGGTGAAGACCCTGCATAGAGCACAGTATCCACAAAGATATAGAAGTTATGATTAGGAATAAGGACTGACATACATTAACATGGGACACACTCAAAAATGAACCAAGGTACACCATCTACATGGAGGTTCTTCAAGAGGCCTTTATAAAGGCAATGGTTATATAGAAGAGAACTCAAAGAACCACTGAATGCTTAAATGGTTCTTTCCATGATTAAATGAGTTTTCTCCACAATGGATAACCTGCTGTATATGGTTCTCTGAAGAACCTTCTAATGATTCAATGTAGCACCCAAAAGGGTTCTTCTATTATTACAAGCTTGACATCATAACAATAGAAGAACCCATTTTTGGTGCTATATAGAACTATTTCCAAAAGGGTTAACCATCTACAGCAATTTCTCCATTAGTCTGAAGAAGCTTTTCATGATCCAAAGAATCTTTAAACATGCAAAGGGTTCTTTAAGTGTTTATGGTCTGATATAGAATCATTTTCTTTACTAAAGAACCCTTGATGCACCATCTTTTTTAAGAGTATAGGCGTTGGATGATATTTAAAAATAATAAACTAAGCACAATATTTTCTTGTTAAGCACACAGTGTGCTGCAGCTCAGACATACTTTTTATGCTATCTGTAGCTTAATGTTACAAGCTTTTGAAGCATTAGCAGATTTAATGAAGTTCTCTGATGAAACCAAATATTAAATAATGTAATAAGTAACAACTTTTTAAATTAATAATAAATATTTTAGCTCTCATTTTGAAAGTTGTTACTGCAAACACATGCATTTGTGAACTCCTTCTGGTGTGGGTTTTTCAGTTTAAATGACACACGCAATAGCAGCTTGTGTTCTGATAGTGCCCTCTTAATATGAAGGTTCTAATTGTTAAAACTTTACAGTAAAAACTTTACATTATAAGAAGGTTCTTTAAACTGTTCTTCACACTCTTTTTTTCAACCATGGTTCTCTATGAAACCAAAAAGCACTGTTTTGCGGCACCTTTTTTAAAAGAGTGCAATTGTGATTGCATTATATCATATTTAGTTTAGCACTGGAGCTACGAGGCTATCATTGCTAACAAACACTAGAAGTCAGTAGTCACCCAAATCTTTTCTGTAAAGAAGAACTTTTAAACTGACATATAAATTTAACATTGCGTGAAGGTTCTTTAAACTGTTCTTCACACTTAAAATCTTTTTTCCAAGCATGGTTCTTTATGGGGTTCTTCTGTGGTACTGTTTTGTGGCACCTTTGTTAAAAGAAAGCAAAGTCAATTGCATTATATCTTGAGGTAACAAGACATATGTACATATTATTAAATTATTAGAGCTCTTTATGTGTTTTTATGATTGTATCTTGATGTTGAACATATAGAAACATGTTCACATCAATGTCGCTTTACTAGCACTTCTTCTGCACAGTCATATTCAGTTTTTTTTTTTTCATTTTTTCCCCCAACCAAGTCATAGTCATGAGGCAACATGTACTTTTTTCTCTTTTTTTCCGTAGAGGAGAAAAGAAAAGTGCTTTTATCTTGACTCTGTAGCCTCAGCGCTTCCTGGGAACACTCAGGATAAAGGAGGATGTCAGAATGGGACTGCTAACTGAATTTTCTAATTGCTCTCTCTCTCTCTTTCTCTCTCTCTCTGTTTTGCGCTCTCTCTCAGAGCGGCCCCCTCCATTAGCAGCCGTGTGGACGGGGAGAGATCCTCCCTCTGCGGCCATCATGCCTCTGAAAACCACCCAGACGCAGCAGCGGAGGAGAATGAGGAGGATGGAGAAGGCCAAGGCTGGACAGCGCTCCAAAAAGCTGGCCATCCTGTCCCGTTCCCTCATCATCTGCAGCTCCAGGACCAGCGATGACCTCCCCAGCCCAGAGGAGAAGTATGGGTATGGCGACTGGAAGGAAGTACACCAGGGAGCCCATCTGGGCCAGCCACTTGTGATGGGGCGTCCAGAAAAAGATCTAAGCAGGAGCGTCAGTCTGCAGGCGCCGAAGAACTCAGAGGAACCCAAGAAGACCATGAGGAGGTCTTTCTCCATCAGGGTAGGGCTGCTGTATAAGAGTTTGGTGTTGATAGTGTGTCTTGATTTGTGATTTCTGCAGTCCTGTGTTAGTGTTGTTGAAGTTTTTGGACAACTGTTTTCATTTGTTGTGAAGTGACTTTCAGCTGAAATCAAAGCATGAATACTTCTTTTTTATGTGCTTAAAATTTACCACACTGTAACTACACTGTAATAACTGTGATTTCATTTCTGAAATTTTCTTTATATTCGATGAGAATATGTCAAATAGATATTACCAAATAGAGAATGGTATCCTCAGTTTGGCAGAACTATTGGTATTGGTTATTTATATAACTTTATTGCTATGGTTGAAAATAAATTATGTTAAAAATGTATGTTTATGTTTAAACTACAGGCTTATTATATAGTTATTAATCTTAAAGGAAAAGTTCAGTGAAATTTTGCTCAAATTTGCACAATTTTCCACATACCCCAGATGTAGTTGATTGGCTAGGACATGTTTAGTGTCCACATTTTGCTTCTTTAACGCTGGAGCTATGATGCTAACATTGCTAACACTAGAAGTCAATAGCCAAATCTTTTCTGTAAATACATCCTCAAAACTTCTCTCAAGCTGCTCAAACCGCTTCATTATGGTCACACAGACTCGTTGATGGCAGCTCAGTGATACAGTGTGACTTACTGTGAGCTATAAAAATAAAAGAAAAGATGGGCGTTGTGCTGAATTCTGACACTCTGACAAAACCCAACTTCCCTTTATGTTCATGCACATCAAGTGAACATATAGACACTACACATCGTGTTTGCAGTTTCTGTTGTTTGTTTTTAAGATTAAATGTTAATTAAACTAAAAAAATACTGTGAAATCACATATAAAATCTAGCGTCCATATGCCTTCATGGTGCACATAACTGTAAAAAGTGAGTCAGATTTTGTGGGAAAGTCAGTATTTGGCTTATCATCTGTTGTTTAAAATGGCCCTGCACTCAGCTACACAATGAAGTTTTGGTCATTTTCATAGTTCATAGTAAGACATACTGTGTCCTAAACCACATTTACAAATCTGCATGACGTTAATGAAGATCTGGATGTGGTTCGAGTGGATTAAGACAAGTTTTTTACGGAAAAGATCTGGGTGACTATTGACTTTTAGTGTTTTTTTTTAGCATCGTTTGTCTCATAGCTCCAGCACAAAATTTGGACATTTGGACATTTATCTTGGCTGATTGACTACGTCTGGGGTATGTGGAAAATCAAGTGCCTTTGATTTCTCAATCACTATTACTTTAAGGCTTATTATCCAGTAACTATAATGAATTATGTAGTATGAAAATACTATGTCAGGAATGTAGTTACATAAGTGAGGAGAAGTTGTGTAACTCTGGACCCACTTACAGCTCCATAGAGCTTATGGGATCCAAGCACTTCTACTGTACATAATATGATCTTTTAGATCAACATTCATGGCTGTTTTTGCCATTTATTAGCCAGAATTAAACATTACACAAATAGTGTCATTACAAAAGCATGAGACATCTTTAATATGCACTAATTAAATGTGCACCTCATTAAGATCTGATAATGATGGTGATGACGAACTAATAAATCTGTTCATTCTTATCATGTGTCTGTAATAATGTAGATGCCTCAACATTTTCAAACTGTGCTTGCTCTCATCATTTGAGCATGCTTTGCAAGAAAGTTTATACTGGCTGTCTTTTTGTATAACCATATTTAACAGCTGCTTTCTGCTCACTGAATCACAATCACATGGCCGGCGTGTTTGGAGGCTCTGTGGCCGCGCTCTGCCCATTAGACCTGCACAAAAGAGTGCTTGTTGTGGTCTGTAGGGAGCTGGGAACTTGTGCAGGTCTCATAAGACATTTGTAGTGATGTCATGGAGGCCAGAGGCAAGTGAAGTCCCTAAGGCCCATCGCCTGGCTGCCTGATAGGCCGACAAAGCACTCAGCTGACCTTTGCACAACATTTAAAGAAGGCTAAAACAACACTGAGGCTGTAAAAACGTTGCTATGATATGTGCGCCTGCCATTTGATATCTCTATGAGTTGGAATTGGGATACTTTAACTTTACTCACAGTATATACATGAGGACTACACTGAGAACAATTATGCATTGAATTATTGTTTCCACAATAACAATTAGAGTAAGAATTAAAGTTCTTTTAGAATGTGGTTTTATTCATTTCATTTCAACTAGTAAGTAGTTATAGGTCCATAAATATTTAGACGTTGATAAAGTTATTATTATTTTACCTTTTTTACCTTTTAATCTTATTATTATTATACTGGAGTTAAATAATAGAAACCCCCATTTTTGGGGGGCTCAAAAGTAATTGGACAAACTAACAATCATATATTAGATGTCGTTTTTAATCCTTGGTTGCAAATCCTTTGCAGTCAAGGACTACATGAAGTCTGGAGACGTCACCAAACTCTGGGTTTCTTCCCTGGTGGTGCTCTGCCAGACCTTTACTGCGGCTGTCTTCAGTTCCTGCTGCTTCTTGGGCGTTTTACCTTCAGTTTTACTTTCAGTCAGTGAAATCCATGCTTGATTGCTGTCCAATGAGTTTTGAATCATTTGGCTGAATCTGAGCGGATAATATAGCCCAACACTTCAGAGTTCATGCTGCATTTGTCAGCAGTCACATCATCAATAAATATGAGGGAACCAGTTCCATTGGCAGCCATACATGCGTATGCAATAATACTACCCCCACCATGCTTTACAGATAGGGTAGTATTGTGGATCATTAGCAGTTCCTTGCCTTCTCCATACTCTTGTTGTTCTAGAACTGGTGTTTTTTTAGATGGTTTTGGCTAACTCAAATTTGGTCTTTCTGTTTTTGAGGGTTAATAATGGATTATATCTTAAATCGTAAACCTTTTGTATTCATTCTGCTGAAGCGTTTTCTTGATTATTGACTTTGGCACAGATATGCCAACTTCCTGGAGGGTGTTCTTTATCTGGCCATCTCTTTTGTCATCCACCACAGTTGTTTTCTGTGGTCTTCTTTTTTTGAGCTCACCAGTGTGTTCTTTCTTTTCCAGAATGTAACAAATAGTTGATCTGACCACACCTTCATTAAGTTTTCAGCCTAATAATGGCTTGCTTCACTGGTAGTGACATCTTTTTTGGACTTTATACTTGAAATCAACTCTGGACCTTTTATCTGCTTACTTGTAAGTGATACAGTGAGGGAATAATACACACTTGGACATGGAACAGCTAAGTAATTGTCTAATTAATTTGAAGCGTCTATAAATAGGATGCTATGTATAAAATTGTGGTAATTTCTACATTGTTCATCCATATTGGATGTAAATATCTTCAAATTATTCAACTTTAATATGCAGTGGCAGACAGCTAAAATAATAACTTTGTTAAGCCCAATCATTAGTGAACCTGACTATATTTTCCAAATTTACCCTGTTTTTGTACCATACAAGTAACTGCTTTTGACTACTGAGCACTTTGTATATATCATAAAATTCAAACCTATATTGTTTTCATCCAATATAACCAACTCACAGTCAAAGCTAGCCAGGCTAAAGTGCAGCCTCCACATGGTGGGGTTGGTTTTAATGCAGTGTTACACCTAAGCCTCCCAAAGGAAACAATCATAGAACTCCATATCTTCCCATGTTAATTCTGAACATTTCATTTATGGACAGATTAATCAAAAACTCAGATATGATGTAAATAAAATATATTTTATTTTTATCATGATGATGTTTGCTCTTTCTGTTAAATAATGAAACTGCCAAATTTGACACTAATCTTTATTTTGATGCATTTTTTTTTTTTGGTTGAAATCAGTTCTTGTTCAAACAACGATGAACATAATTGAATAAATTGTGTTTTACAATAGTTTACCAGACATTTTCAAAACTGTTAGCACCTTAGCCTGCTACAATTAACCTTGCGTATAAAGTGAGCTGTAACACTTACGCTTTAGCTGCTTTTAGATCTTTTTTCCCTATACCTTTAGGAACAGGTGGAAAAAAGCTTGGAAGGTAAGTGGCTAACACTTAGCATTCCACACTAGCTTTAACCAGCAGGGGCAGCAGATTTTTCCCCTTACCTTTATTGGACCAGGTAAAAAAACATAGCACTCGCATGCTAATTGTTAGCCAGATAGCTCCTTGGTATTTTTTTGGACCTGGTCCCCAAAGCAAAAAAAGGTTCCCCTGTTGGTCAAACCTGGTGTGACATGCTATGTATTCGTTTTATATGTTACTCATCTCGCCGTTGAGGTGGGTCTCAGGAACACACATTCATTTTTTTTTGTCTTACTCCTTAGGATTTCCATACTGCTCTCCCCCACATATACACGTTTGAATCAAGTGAATCAAATAAATTTATTACGTTGTTTTTTTCAGAGCTGTTTTAAACCTTACTGGAATTTAGACTGTGGAGAAAGTCAAACATGGAGTTTTTAACGAGTCCTAAATAAAAGCCCCAATGTTTCCTAAAGCAATTATCTTAAATTTAAAAGGTTAGCATATAAGCATTCCTCTCTTGCTGCACTGTGAAAAGTTATTATCCTGTGGCCCCTTAAATGTTCCAGAATTAATGCTCAACCTTGCAGTTCATATTCCCATAAAGCAAGTCTATTGTAGTTGTATTTTACAGGTGTCAAAGTTTCAGGACCTGGGTGAGAAAGAGTGGTCTCTGTGTGGGGGAGTATAGTAGCCACCTTGTCTGAGTGTTCTGATGGTTTTTATTGGGGCAGGAAAGCAGTTTCTGGAGAATGTGTGTGGCTACTGGAGAGGAGGGTGGGCCGCTGGGGCCTCGAGTGGGCGATAATGACCTCCAGCCTGGTGACAATATCCTTACTGTTGGCCATGTGCGAAATGGAGGGCAATTACACAGGTAATAAAAAACCCAACATAACTTGATCATCAGAATAGTATTAGTTTTTATTATGTGTGTGCGGTGGGGTTTAATGTTCTGTGTAAATATCCACAACCAGGCCAACAGGCACACATATACACACACTCGCACATAAATACAAGTGCACTAATGGACATTATGTGCTCTTTTCTCTCTCTCTAGGGACAATTATATCCACTATGGTGAAAGGCTGGCCCCATTCAATGGGCAGGTTATAAATGGCCTCACAAAAAACGAGCCTGAGTTGGAGAGACAGTCGGCTATGAAAACTGTCCCCAGAACAGTCAGCGCTGAAGTAAGCTGGATTCAAATTTTCATATACAGATTCATTAATAAGTATAATCATATACACAAACTGAAAAGCAATAGGTTGGTTAAATGTACTTCACCCAGATGTGTACATTGGTTTAACATGAATTAAAAAATGTAGAGTTTTATGCAAAAGTAAGAGACTAACGATATAGTCGAACCACATATTTTAATCAAGTACATTTAACACACTAATTATTCAATGTACATGCCCAATATGTCCAGTATATACTGTCCAATCCTTCCAATTTGTGGATTCAGCTAATGCACACACACTGCTGACACATGGTGTTAAATTGATATAAACTCATTCATCAACCATTTATAAGAAGAAATTTCTTCGTAAAACCCACTTATGCATTTTTTACGAAGAGTCTGATATTCACCAATGTTTTCTTATTTGGGATTTGTTCTTAAGTAAGTACAGAATCTACACACACTCAAGGGCACAAAGTTGCGTCATCAATCTACATAGACTTTTTCTTGGGACCTTTCTGAAGAACACATTTAAGAACAAACTTACAAAGATATTAGTAAATGAGGCCCATTGCTAGTAAAATGGGACCCTTTAGGTCAGGGGTCAGCAACCCAAATGTTAAGAAGATCCATTTTGTCCTTTCAACCAAAATCAAACCACCTTGGTAGCCACAACATTTTATGTTCATTTTACCATCTTGGCTGTAAATATGTCTCAGTATGTGCTGATGTCCTAGTATAAGCAAAAAACATAATATAAACAAAAAAACAGACTTACTTTGCTCTGCTTTAAGCTTTAGCTCAGCTATAGCTACTTTTCTCACATCTTCTTGTTCTAATTTTCCTGTTTCTCCTTAAATGATGCCTGAGGTAAGTCACTATTTAAGGTAGAATGAGAAAATTCGAACCAGAAGCTGACTTCAGCCTTGTGACTTCTTAGTGTTTGACAGATTCACATTACAGATTAAATGTTATAGGAAACCAGCTGAGCGCTTATGAATGCAAAATAAGTCCATTCATGTCCAAATTAACTAAGTTCATCTTAAATCTCTCTTCTTTTTTTTTTTGTTAGATACTAGCTAGGTGAGATTGTTGTCTGCATTGCTATGGTGACCAGCAGTCTGCGTGCCAATCTTCGGGGTTAAAGGGTGAATTAGCAGTTCTACATTAACTCCAGTGTTTAAGACCATTTATTGTTTAACTGTGTTGAACGATCAGCAGAGCCTTATCTTACTGTAAAGGAGGATTATTTTATTTTTACCTACAAATCTAATTCTGCTGTGGAGCCACAACAGTTCAGTAAAAAAGCTGCATGCATATACAAACCTAAGGTTACCAGGGACATGAAGCTCTCCACAGATGGACGGTGAAACAATGGAATTACCTTCTCTGTAGCGATAAACACCTTTGGGCTAACTTGGAGTGCTGAAGTCTCATTGAACACCTTTGAGATGAATTTAATAGACAAAGCTCTAGTGAATACTTTCAGGATGAGTTGGAGGAATGAAGTTCTATTGAACACCTTTGAGATGATTGGGATTGCTTGGATTATGAATAGCAGAAGATGTAACCAACTTCTAAAGCCCTATTGGAGCTGAATTAGTTTTACCAGATGAGGTGCAGTAATTTAAGTGATTACTGACAAGGCTAACGGTTAAGATGGACCCAATTCATGACAAGATCACTGAAATGCCTCAAGTTCATGACAGGATTATTGAAATGCACAACATTTTTTATGATGGCTGAATTAAAGAGGAAGGAAAATGAAATATCTTCACAGCACCTCTCACAAAGCAGTGAGTTTCCTGCCTCGTTGGGCAGCATTTGGTAAATTAAATTAACTCACTTTATTAGCCTAATGCTAGTCTACATGCCATTTAGTTGAACACATGTTGTTATTGTTTAGAAGTGTGGCACCTGTGGCATAATGATGATGTAAACCTCTGTGCAATGATGATTCGATCCATGATGTTTGGGGTAATTTGAGGAAATCACACAGATCCTTTATCCCGTATGAATCAGCCAGTTAAATCACTGTAACGTAGCGGCTGAGGCAGGTTGCAAGCATGAAGTGACTTTATTAAGGGCATTCTGATACTTATTGTCGTAGCAGGCTGGGGTAATGGGCTTTGGAGATGAAGTGGTATTTATGGTTAGAACTAACCCTTAAACATCATTAAACCTCATTAATGTTGTGTAATTTGAAATTTGATTACTCTTGTAATCAAATATCAAATTATATTAGTAATCAAGTAATTTACCAATTATTTTGACAATTTTAAAAAGGAAAAAGAATAAAAACTGGCTTAAGTAAAAAAATACAAATCATACAGAGCTAGGTTTAACTGAGTAATCATGATGGCCCTATTAATACCTTTAATTTTGAGATATATGTTGGATGAGCAGGTGTCTGGATACTTTTGGACATACAATATTTGGCATCAAGTGCCTGTAGTGCTGATCTGTGACCAGTTTTGCTTTGCTTCTGACTGTTCACATTGGTTTTAGCTTTTATCAGTGCAAAATATCAGCCTATATCAGCTCAGCTTCAACCAAAAGCATTTCAAATATGCCAGAGTGTCTGACAAACACCAGAGAGTGCAGATGCCTCCCACAGGCTCTGCTACTGAAGGAGGCCTTGCATTGCTAAGCTAATGCGCAAATAGTTTTCACAAACAAACTACTGTTGTCAGACCATGAAAAAAATAGCCAGCCTCAAACAACATGCTGTTCTTTTCTTTCAAAATTAATCAGAAGCATTATATAAAATAAGTGGACAAACAGCACCATTTACTGAGCCTGAATAAGCGCAGGGTGAGTGAGGGAAACCAGCTAACCAAAAAAATTGAGGACATAAGCAGACAACACAAACCCTAATGAAACTGATGTCGGAACTGAAGCTGATAGAAACTGAGTGGAAGTTGAAGCTCATAGAGAGAACCTTAAACTTTTGACAAAAAGGCCAATCTTATCTTATAAAGATTTAATTTTAGTCCTTTAACCCAACTAGGTCCCCCATGGCATATACACGATATATGGACAAAAGTATGTGGACACCTGACCATTAGACTCATATGAGCATATAAGCATCTAACTGAAACAGTGTAAATGAAAAATGCTATTTAGGTTCTTGGAATAAAACAGTTCAGGATCTCCAGAACTATACTGCAAAATGACTGGCCACTTTCAATTATTTCTCTCATGTAGTTCATTGAAACAGGAGGACAAATTGCATTGTGCAGATTCTTAACTTTGAATCCATACCACATTTGTTAGTAGAATAGAACATATTTTATTATGGATTGCATTTGATGAAAAATTCTGTGTACAGTTAAAAAACAGTAAATACCTGTTTTTTTTTAACTTTAAAAAACTTTACATTTCAACACTGCTTTTATTAATTTACAGACATAGAATGTAAATTCAAAAAAACAAATGATCACCTTTATTTCACAGACATTTCCATGTAATTTAATGGTTATTGCTGTTGTTATAAATACTGTAGAACAAGTTGAAATAGTGAAAGTGTTGATTTACAGTAAAAGGCAGAATGTCTCAGAAATTAAATGACTGTAATTTTACAGACTTTTACTGCTGCTGGACATTTTGATATTTTTACAGATTTTCTTCATTACGATGTACAATGTACTTTATTATACATATAAATACTTATGTAATGTAAATTGAATCTTTTGCAAAAAAAAGAAAAAAAGAAAAAACCTCTAGACTTTTATGGGTTAATGCAAGAAGAAAAAGCAACATAAAAAAGGCAGGACCTGTGGTAGAACGTCATCCAACTTAATTCTTCTTTTAATGTGGAAATTGCTATTTTAAGCTTTACTGTTATGACATAATGAGGGATTAATTCATACAAATGACTTCCAGAGCTTCACCCTGTAAAACATTATGAAAAAGTGCTGTTATGGAAACTTGGTAAACACAGCAGACATAATAAACACATGTAAATCAGGCCTGTTTGGTCTCTGTTTACAGTGTTAGGCCAGGTGTGGCAGACTGCAGGAAGAGAAAATGATTTTTCCTCACTTTACCCTTTTACGTGTTTGTACCTATTAACTTTACAGCAGGCTTTAGCAACATGACTGTCTCTGTCTTCCCTGAAGGTTTTCTCCATGTGTGAAAACAGTGGGCTTTTGGCAAATGTGAATTCATCTGACCCTTTGGCCTACAGAAAAGAAACACTGGGGACCAGCGGTAGCATAAAGGTGAGTAACACATTCTATTTCCCATTACAGTCCAGCCATATACTATATAATATAGACTATATATTATATAATACAGACTTGTTATTAAGTTTAATAAGCTATTAAAAAGACACAGGACTGTGCCAAAGACCACCCATCATGTATTAATCCACTTGTATAAGAAAGTGGAAAATCAAAATAAGTGAGTTTCCAAAACTTTAAAGGCTCAAGAGACTCCTTACAACAACCTGGAAGACCTGGAAGACACCAAATCTGTCCAACCTTATGATAAACAGCACTTAAAGCTTTCATCTTTGAGAGAGAGGAGAAAATCAAGCTGCTTCAGATCTGAAAACATCCACAGGTGTTTCTGTCCATCCATCCACTGTGAGAAGACGACTCAGCACTATGGGTCTGAAAGGAGGTGTAGCTGTCAAGAAGAACCTCACTGAGAAAAGGAGACGGACACAACAAACAAAGAAGCTGAACAATGGACTGACAACCCCAGAGTCCAGTCCTCAACATCACTGAATGTGTTTGATTACCTCAGAAAATGATCAACCAACTTCTAAGACTGAACTTTGGAGGTGTGTCTGCAGATTTCTTTGAGAAACTGAAAGTGAGTCTTCTGAAAAGAATGGAAGCTGGAATAAAGGTGAAGAGTGACACACTGAGCACTCAAACAGCTGATATTAGATTTAGCTGTCGAGAGCTCTGTGTAATTTTCTGTTAAAATCTTTCTGTTAAATATCTGGACACTGAGAAATGAATAACTTGTACTGAAATAAATGAAGAGTAAATGATATTAAACTATTAAACCACTATTAGAAGAGACACAGCTTTCAGACATGTCGTGGTGCTTTATTGTCCAGCTGTGGTCACAGTGGCCACAGCTATGGCGTACACAGAGAGAATCTTCTCTAACAGTTCGCTCTAACCCTCAGCTATGCCTTATCTTCTCAGCTGCCAGCTCTTGACTGATTCTCAGTTCTTCCTGATCTAGAGTCCTATCCCTGCAAATCTAGCCCCGCCTTCACAGTAAGAGTCCTTGGTAGAATAATCCCATGAATAAAGAACAAATAACCTAAACTAACATTTGAAAAACATTTTTTGAACATGCTACAACATGAAAGATGGTCTCTGATTTTTGCACAGTACTGTTTTTGTGAGGTATTTCTTGAGGAAATATATTAATCATATATGTCTGCTGGTTTACACATATGGTTTTGTGTGTATGTGTGTGTATGAAGGTGCCTATTATTGAGGTATCAGAGATCAACAACAAAAACTCAGGCACTGAGGCAGATGTAAAAGAAGAAAACTGTGAAGATACAGCCTGTAAGAGGACTCGCTCCAACTCTACAAGTAAATCTCACACACAAACACATATACACAGTCTCTAAAATAATATAATATATATATATATATATATATATATGTATATATATATATGTATATATATATATATATATATATATATATATATGTGTGTGTGTATATATATCTATATATATATATATCACTATGTAGTAATTATTAATAATAAATATCGCAAACATTTATATATCGTTGCTGTTGGAAAAAAAAACTTATGTCTCCGAAAAAGTAACTTTACAGGAAAAAAACGTTCTTAGTTTTCAGTTGATGTAACAATATTTTGCTCTTATTTTGCCGCATTTCTGTTTGTTATTACATTTTTGATAAGTCTTTCAGATTATGTCGAAAAAATGAAAAACGTCATATAGAGAGTTGGGATGCTGTGTAGAATGCAAATAAAAATAGAATACAGTGATGTGCAAATCATGTAAACCATATTTTTAGAAAAAACAAATCAAATGTTCAAACAAATAAATTGCATAATATATGCCCATTTTGAATTTGATGCCAACAACATGTTTAAAAAAAATCAAAAAAGGCACAGGAGCATATTTACCACTGTGTTTCATCACCTCTTCTTTTAACAACTTTCAACAACACAAGCATTTGGTAACTGAGGAGACACTGCTGTAGTTTTGAAAGTGAAATGTTTTCACATTCTTGTTTGATATAGGATTTCAGCTGATCAACAGTTCGGGGTCTCCTTTTTTCATATTTTTCATTTCATAATGCAGCAAATGTTTTCAGTGGTGACAGGTCTGGACTGCAGACAGGTCAGTTTAGCACCCAGACTCTTTTAATACAGAGCAATGGTGTTGTAATGCGTGCAGAATGTGGTTTGACACTGTCTTGCTGAAATAAGCAAGGCCTTTCCTGAAAAAGACGTCATCTAGATGACAGCATATGTTGCCAAAATATGTATATATCGCTCAGCTTTAATGGTGCCTTCACAGATGTGTACATCACCCATGCCATGTGCACTAATGCATCTCTATACCATCATGAATGCTGGCTTTTGAACTGTGCACTGACAACAAGCTGAGTGGTCCCGGAGGACACAGTGTCCATGATGTCCAAAAAGAATTTCAAATGTTAATTTGTCGGACCACGGGACACTTTTCCACTTCCCCTCAGTCCATTTCAAATGCGCTCAGGCCCAGAGAAGGTTGCAGCATACCTGGATCCTGTTTATATATGGTTTCTTCTTTGTGCTTTAGAGTTTTAACTTGCATTTGTGGATGCAGCGACAAACTGTTTTCACAGATGGTGGTTTTCAAAAGTGTTTCTGAGCCCATGCAGTGATTTCCTCTACAGAATCATGTCTGTTTTTAATGCAGTGCTGCCTGAGGGCCCAAAGATCATGGCCAGCAAATACTGTTTTTTGGCCTTGTCCCTTGCATACAGAGATTTCTCCAGATTCTCTAAATCTTTTATTGGTATTATGCACAGTAGTTAATGAAAAGCAAATGTTCTTTGCTATTTTACATCGAGAAATGTTGAATTGTTGCACTGTTTGTCATTCACAAAGTGATGAACTCCTCCCCATCTTTACTTCTGAAAAACTCAGCCTCTCTGAGATGGTCTTTTAATACCCAATTGTGTTACTGACCTGTTGGCAATCAACCACCAGGTGTTTTTTTAGCATTCCACAACTTTACCAGCCTTTTGTTGCCCCGTTCCAACTTTTTTTGAAAATTTAAATTCAAAATGGGTATATATTTTTCAAAAAAACAATAAAATTTCTCAGTTTCAACATCTGATATGTTGTCTTTGTACTATTTTCAATTAAATATAGGGTTTAAATGATTTGCAAGTCATCGAATTCTGTTTTTATTAACATTTTGCACAGCGTCCCAACTTTTTTGGAAATTAGGTTGTGTTATGTATATATGTAAATACCTATATGTAATAATAATATGTACATGGATATTTAAGCACCTGTTCCAATGTATTATATTCAATATAAGTATTTATATGGAATACTAATATGTGTCATATGTATCATATATATATAAATGTAAGCACATATGAGATATGCCTAGTGTGTATTTTATATGTAAGCATCTGTAATAAGAAGTTTAATCCTAAACCTAATTTAAGATTAAACTAATCTCTGCTTCAGGAAAGAAATAGTTTTGCCTTTTTAGTTTAAAGAAATGAAACATTTCTGTAAAAGCTCTTTACAAAGTCAGGAGCATTTTGTTACAAATGTTTTTCTCTGTTTTTTCTACACAGTCTGGACTTTTTTGTCCTGAAATTGTATGAAAACAAACACACACTTATGACACACAAATGCCAGCCACAGTAAATGATTCCTTTCATTACATAACAATCTACCCTTCTGAGCCGGGGCATCCCAGAAAACCCTCAGGCCTTCCTCACAGAGCCGCACTCTGTATGACCGATCCGCTTGTTATGTTTCTCCCAATTTAGCCGTAGCGGCTCCTCTGTAGTAGCTTTCTCTTTTCATCATGTGACCTGTCCTTATGTAACTGTGCTGGCTCTCTGGGTTTTAGGCGTTCACCCATACTGGATCGGAGACTTGGACACCATCATTATGAAAACGCCAGAGCTGTTCCCATGTCGCGTCCACGCCACCACAGGCTTTTACGGCAACAGGAAATCTCTCTCCCAACAGCTGGAATTCCCTCACAGCATTCCGCAGGTGCAAGAACAGGATTATATAATTTCTGCAAAATTTACAGAGATTATGCGCCAGTGTTAACTTAGCTGCAGTTTTATGATTTCAATTGTTCACACTGGGCAGTGGCTCTAAAAAAAAAAAGGAAGCTTCAGTTCATTTTTCACAATGGAAACAACAGTAAAAACAGAAATAAGAGAACTGTAATTAGTTATGTAGCATAAAATGTAGCATATGTTTATTTTATATCTATATTTAAAAGTAAGTAGTTTGATTTTAAAGGGGTAAAAGCTACATCAAAAGAGCTTGATGTAGTATGTAAACACTTTCAAAACATACCATTCACCCCCCAGTCCATACAGTTCATATATGCAAAATAAGCTGCCAAAACAGCCTGTTTTGAACACATCGTAGCTGTGATGAGTGTTGTTACTGCAGACAGCAGCATACGTCCATTCAAATGGATAAAGACAGGTTGAAGAGTTACTGAGTAAAAATGAATGGTATTAAATGAATGTATTTAGTACATAAAAAAAGTTTAACTCAACTAAATAGTAAAAAAAACATTCTTGACGATTCTTGACTAGAGACAATCATTTGCAAAAGTTGGCACACCCCCTGTCAAATGACACTTTGTTGATTTTCTTTGTAAAAAAGTGTACACATCCTATACTGGGAACAAACTTAAATGCTGCATTTTTCACATTTTCACATACCAAAACATGGAAACAAAGGGAAATACTAAGAACATGAACTGACTAGGAAAACTATAAAACACTATGGCTAAACTTACACAAAGAAAACATGAGCAGGGAAACTACAGGGAACACTAGGATGACAAACCAAAACCAGGAACATGCAACAATGCTGGCTGGGGAACAAAGGAAATACAAGGGTATGTATACTAACACAGAAGACAAGGAACACCCGAAACTTGACCAGGGGGTGTGCAAACCTTTGTATACGACTGTATATTAAGCTTTAGAATAGAGATGGTGGCTATTTATTTAAACCAGATAAGCCAAAGAGCTGGAGAAACTGTGGAATGAAATACAAGCAAATTGAAGAATATTTCTCCATTAACACCACTAAAAATGTTAAATCAGTGGACATCTGACTGCTACTCATTTGAACCATATAATACAGACATCTTATAGATTATATATTCATCATATTTGTCCGAGACATCACAGTGTCTGAACTGTGTCTGCATCCACACTTCTGATGCAGCTATGCCTCGCACTCTGCTTTCTAATGGAGCTGAATGTGAATTGCCTTTGCTCCACTGCGCTTCAAGTGTTAATGTGATTATTATACAGGCAGTCAAACAAATGCCTGTTACAGTAAGTGCTCAAAACAACAAAGCAGATTTTCACTCAAAGGGAATCAGGGTCAGCCACATTCCCTCTCTTGTTTGTAAACAAATCTACTGTTAGTCACTGACGTCACACTTGTTTACACTGTACAAGGCACATGCCTGCTTCTGCAGCCTCTGATTGGAATGACCGTGGAAAGTCAATGCTCGTGTATCTTCCTTTTCTCTAACTGATAATCTTCTGTGTGGTTTGTTTGGTTTGCTATTGACCTGTTTACATATTTACTCCTCTGTCTGAATCTCTGCAGGCGGTGCCCAGGCCCTCTCGCTCTCTCAGTTCAGCACATTTGCTTCACTCCTGCAGCAGCGTTCAGGCTTTCATCATCTGTAATATAGTCCTGATGAAAGCGCCGGGGAAGGTAACCACACATACACACACACACACACACACACACATATATATATATATATATGGACACTTCAATGGTCAGGACCCCCACAGAGCAGGTACTATTTGGGTGGTGGATCATTCTCAGCAGTGACACTGATGTGGTGGTGGCATGTTAGTGTGTGTTGCGCTGGTGCAAGTGGATCAGACACAGCAGTACTGTTGGAGGTTTTAAACACCTCACTGTCGCTGGATTAAAAACCAAAAATATCCAGCCAGCAGCGTCCTGTGGGCAGCGTCCTGTGACCACTGAAAGACTAGAGGATGACCAACGCACATCTACAAGGTGGACCAACAAGGCAGGAGTGTCTAATAGAGTGGACAGTGAGTGGACACAGTGTTTAAAAACTCCAGCAGCACTGCTGTGTCTGATCCACTCGTACCAGCACAACACACACTAACCCATGTCACTGTGTCACTGCTATGTTGAGAGTGATCCACCACCCAAATAATACCTGCTTTTTGGTGGTCCTGTGGGGGGGTCCTGAGCATTGAAAAACAGGGTGAAAGAAACAGATGGACTACAGTCTGTAACTGCAGAACTACAAATTGCTCCTATTTGGTCAGTGGAGCTGATAAAATGGACAATGATTGTAGAAACGAGAAGGTGGTTTTAATGTTGGTGGGTGTAAAGTCATTTGTGAGGTATAAATATTGGCAAAGTAGCGTTTTTGTAGCTTTATATTATGTTCATTATTCCAGCCATCACTGCTGTGCTTCATATATATCTATATATGGATTAGTAAAGGCACCTGTTCCTGTTCGTCCTGCAGGGTCTGGGCTTCAGTATAGTGGGAGGCAGGGATAGCATGTATGGTCCAATGGGAATCTACGTGAAGACGATTTTCCCAGGTGGAGCGGCCGCAGCTGATGGAAGACTGCAGGAAGGTAGAGACGACAGCACTTCTGCCATTCACTGTCTTTTGGTTTGACTGATAGTTAGCTTTCTGCTTTTGAGTGTACATCTACGTAATGCATCCAGTTCAGCTCTAACAGACCAGAGAGTTCAATCAGTGTTTGCAGCAATAGTCTAACTGTCTGTTACACAAGTTTAAAAGCCTCTGTGCATGTTTTTCAGGAGATGAAATTCTGGAGCTGAATGGAGAGTCTCTGCACGGTCTCACTCATGAGGACGCCTTACAGAGGTTTAAAGTGAGCTCTTCATCTTCATTCTTACTTTCAGTACCTATTCTTCAATTATTACCTCACATAAATAAATAAATAAATAAATAAATAAATAAATAAATAAATAAATAAATGTCAGGTTTTAAATTTTCCTCCACAGACTCAGTTAGGAATTATCAAAACCTAGTAGCTTCATTGATCATTTGATGATGGCTTTATCGTCAATGCATGCAACCATCCATTCATCCATCCACCCATCCACCCATCCGTCTACACTTCCGTCCATTCCTCTGTCCGTTAATACATCATTCATGAATCCACCCATCCATCCATCCATCCTTCCATCCATCCATCCATCTGAAAGTCTATCTATCCTTGCACGCATCAGTCCATCTATGCATCCATGCATCTATGCATTCATTCATGCATCCATCCCTCCATCCACTCTTCCATCTACATTTCCATCCATCCATACTTCTGTCCATCAACGCATCATCCATTTATCCATCTATTCAGCCATCTATCCATCCATCCATCTGAAAGTCTATCTATCCTTGCATGCATCAGTCCATCTGTGCATCCATGCATCTATGCATTCATTCATGCAACCGTCCATCCATTCATCCATCCACCTATCCATCTACACTTTCATCCATCAAACCCTACTTTTGTCCATCAGTGTCATCAATGTATCCATCTATCTATCCATCCATCCATCCTTCCATCCATCCATACATCCATGACTTTTACCAGGCCCCTCTTACTTTGCCTTACTGACCCAACTTGCCTCAGCATCACAGTCCATATGCATCCATTCCCCCATTTCCTGGTCCATCCCTCCTTGTTCAAGTCCATTTCCCTCTGTCTCTCTCTCTGTGTTTTCTGAAGCAAGTGAAGAAGGGTTTGTTGACTCTGGTGGTGCGGACGAGCCTGCGGATGGACGCTCTGTCGGGCAGTGGGACACAGGCGGCTCAGCTCTGTCGCTCCAGATCTCTCAGCTCCACGGCGGGAATCAGCAGGACCAGTGCTGACCTGGCCGAGTACACCTGCCTGGGAAACCCTGCCAAGGCACGAGACCGCATCATGATGGAGATCACATTACAGAAGGGTCAGTATTACTTGCCATGTTTATGTTTGAGCGAGGTCATATCGTACCACCCTGTCTAAGTACACTACTGTTCAAAAGCTGGAAATCACTATTTTTAATGATACAAAACAATGTGTGTCACATGATTCATGTCATCTGTAGGAAGCTGTACATAAAATGAAAAAGTTAGATGTGTCCAGACTGATGAGCAGAGCAGTAGATTATTCTGTAATCAAGAATGAAGTTTTAAATAAATTAATATCCAGAATTTCCAATGAAAGGAATGTCTGATGTAAGGTTATAATAAAATTAATATGCAGAATAATGCTCTAACTAAATTAATATCTAGAATGAAGTTCTAGTAAAAAATAATATCCAGGAAAAAAATCCACTTAAAATAAAATGAAAATTAAATTATAATAAAATTAAGTTCTTAGAAAAATACAATAAAATAAACATCCAGAAAGAAGTTATAATATAATTGATATCTGGAATGAAGTTTTAATTAAATGAATATCCAGAATGAAGTTTTATTTTAATTATTATCAAGAATGAAGTTCTAAAAAAAATTATTATCCAGAATGAAGTTCTAATCAAATTAATATCAAGAATAAAGTTCTAAAAATAATAATATCTAGAATGACATTCTAATTATATTAATATCTAGAATGAAGTTCTAATAAATTAAAATCAACAAATTATAATAAATTTATCTTCAAAATGAATTTCTGATGCATTTTATACAAACAATGAGCTCTAACAAAAGTTAAAATCTAGAATCTAGTTCTAATAAAATTAATATTCTGAAAGAAAGCATACTGAAATTAAAATCCAGAATGAAGTTATCATTTAATACTTTATTGTTTGTTGCAGAAAACTTGAAATATTGAATAAAACGTTATTGTCTTGTTTACAATATTTCAGCCATATGTTAATTAAGTTTTTATTGAATAAAATAACAAAATGTATAAATATGACAAGTTATCCTTTTGAACAGCACTGTACCTTCCACATTGTAATCATAAGAGATATACATTTTTTACATGCACATACAGTCATATTCAAAAGCTTGGCCACCCCTGGTCAAATTACATATTTTGTGAACACATCCTTTATAGAGAAAACACTTAAATATGGCATTTTTCTGCACAATTTGAGTTTAATGTCTTGGAAATAATTAACATTAAATGTGCCGTAAAAATAAATGTGACACAGGTGTTTTATTTTTTTTCCATTATGTTAAAATGGGCAGAAGTGTGTTCTCTGTAGAGAACACTCAGGAAAAAAAAACAGGCCAGGGGTGCCCAAACTTTTGCATTTAACTGTATCTTGCACTAATGAAGCTGTTCTGGTCTCTGTTGGTTCCATTATATCTGCATGGTTTAGCGCATATGCTGCTGTAGTGACAGATCTCTCAGTATTAACAGTCCTCAGTTATGAAGCTGTACAGTGAGATGACAGTGTGTTTGTGTATAGAGGTCGGTGTGGGTCTCGGTATCGGCCTGTGCTGTGTGCCGTCTGCTGAAGGCTGCCCTGGTATCTACATTCACACTCTGTCACCAGGATCTGTGGCGCACATGGATGGACGCTTGAGGTACTTTATGATACATATGCTAAAAAGATTATTACAGTTGCACTTTAATGACCACATAGTAAGCCTCTGGAAGCTACAGTATCCCAGGTGGTTGCTTGCAGGGCAGTTGCTATAGTGCTACCAGTGGTTGCTAGAGTGTGGATATGTAGTTGCTATGGTATTCTAGGTGGTTTCTAGGGTACATAATCAGCCTCTGGACACACATTAGAGAAGCTGTTCCAGTCCGTATACATGGGACTAAATCCAGAACATAAAAACGTGCTGTATTTGACAAAGTAAAATAACTTATTTCATCCTGTTTGATGACTGTCATTATTACCACAGTGCCCCCTATACATAGCTATATACACCAATCAGGCATAACATTATGACCTAGGTGCACTTTGTAGTTCTACAATTACAGACTGTAGTCCATCGGTTTCTCTACATACTTCGTTAAAACTTTTTTTACTTTGTTAAAAAAAATCTTGTGGTGAAAAGAATGACATTCTAATAAAATTACAGTACGTTGTCTGTTATACAGTACAATGCATAGTACAGTTTCCATCATATAGTTAATAATAGATTAATTTTTTGAATGTTTATTCAATATTTTAAAAATAATGGGAGATCGATTAAACTGATATAATCGAATGGATTACAATGATAACTAATAGGCTGTAATTATTTAAATAATTTTTTTCCAAGTTATCTTCCATGATATTTGCATTCCTCTATAAAATATGATAAATTCTGCACATTAATTTTATTTTAAATCAATCCTCAATGTTCTACAGCTTTCACATTTTAGCTTTGTTCATCGTTTTGGACGCATTTAACATCCCTGCTGTGTTAATACTCATCTGAAACCTTGAAAAAGTTGTATTTGGAATATTTTTAAAGATTTATTTTCTAATAAATTATTATTGAAAACAGCTATTCTAAACACTGCATATATATAATCGAATAAATTCAGTGGATTTTTCTGCTCCTGTGACTTTCAGCAGGATCTCTGACACCCCCCCACCCCACCCCCCTCTCTGAATCTGTGTTTCAGATGTGGTGATGAGATCATGGAGATTAATGACACGGTGGTTTGCAGCATGTCACTAAACGATGTGTACACAGTTCTGAGTCAGTGCAGTCCTGGTCCGGTTCAAATCATCATCAGTCGACACCCCGACCCAAAAGTAGGTCTAACGTCTCATCACAGATATGCAGCTGTGGAGCTCTTCATGAGAGAACAGCTCCAGAGTGTAAACTAGCTCTGCGCAAATGATTATTTCTTGATGCAGCTCTAATACAGCAGAAGGCTTTGATTGCAAATAAGCCATATAACCAGTGACAATGTTTTTTACTGAGTACCGGCCAATCACAGCTCCAGTTTTTAGTTTTGATTAAAACAATCCAGACTGCATTGAACAAGTAATGCACAGAATTTACTTAATTCAATGGCGTACGTCATTTACACATCAGCATTATTAATTACATCAACATGATTATTGCCAAAAATAGGTAAACCAAAATATCAAACTGTGCTGATCTAATATTGTATTGTATATTTTTTTATATATATATTTTATTTGTATGGAAATTATGGACATTTTATGCAGAACTCTAGTCTAGTCATCATATAATCACCCCAGAAATGTATATATTACAGCATAATCACTACATCTAACAATATATATTTACATAACCACTTTATTTTTAATTTAATCACTATATCAAGCCATACATATTGACAGTATATTACAGTATAATTACTTTATCTAGCAATATAATGACTATATCTAACAATATGTATTTACAACATATTACAGTATAATCACTGTATTTAGCAATTTAATCAGTATATCTAACAATATGTACTTACAATATATTACAGTATAATCATTGTATCTAGCAATATAGTCACTATATCTAACAATACATTTTAACAGTATATTACAGTATAATTACTTTATCAGGCAATATAATGACAACATCTAACAATATGTATTTACAATATTTTATAGTATAATCGCTTTATCTAGCAATATAATCACTATATCTAATAATATATATTTACAATATATTACAGTATAATCACTTTATTTAGCAATATAATCACAGTATCCTGCAATATAATTGCCATTTCTAGCATTATAATCATAATATCTTGTAACATAATCACACTACCTAGCAAGGTTATTAAAGTATCTTGCAAAAAAATCACTATATCATGCAATATCACAATATATAACCACAATATCTTGAAAAATATTACCGGATGGCAAAGGGTCATAAAATGGAATTTTGTCCATACTGTACAAGCCTACTATATTAGAAGGTTTGTACACCTTAAGATCAAGACTTAGAGGTTCAGTACATGTCCAAAAGCATCCAGTGCATTCAACTATATTTAGGTCCCTCATTGCTGACACAGCTTGTATAATTTCCATAGAAAAGCACTTACTAACAGAATGGGATGCTTTAAAGCAGATGCACATGAGTCTAAAGTCACCGTGTCTAATGCCAAGCATCGGCTAAAGGGGTATAAAGCGTCCAGCATTTGGCTGTGTAGCAATGGAACTGCATTCTCTGAAGTGATGGAGCTCCATCTAATACCTTTGGGATGAGTTGGAGTGATCCAGAACTGACCATTCAGCATCAGTACCTGACCTCACTAATGCTCAATCACACATCTAGTGTAAAGCCTTCTCTGAAGAGTAGAGGCTGTTACTGCAGCAAAGAAGAGCAAACATCCTGTTAATACCCTTCATTTCTGAAGAAACGCTGGATAAGCAGGTGTCTACATACTTGGGACATACACAGTAAATGCTACCACACCACAGTGCAGTGCTGGGTGGATCTAGAATTGGAAATGTTCATGTTCTGTCTTGTACAGGCACACTGTGCGCTAATATTAGATTGCACAGTAATTGGAGATGCACATTATTACTAGCTTAATGTACTCGGCTCACTTTGTTTCTTCATCATTGTTGAAATTACAATGTCAGGGACTCTGTTATGCTCTTTGTGGCATGCTGATTTGTGTTACCTTACATGTAGACGGTCTATGAGTTGTTCTGTCTTAATGTTTCTATTTAATTTGCCACTGCCCAGGGACTACAGATTGGCCATTAGACGAACTCTGGTGCATCTGCACTAACATTGACTGATGTGCATTTTCCAAGTTGAATAAATAAAGTAAAACAAATTAAATAAAAAATGCATTTTGTTTGTATTTGTCTGTGCAGGTTTCTGAACAGCAGCTGAATGAGGCCATTGCTCAGGCAGTAGAGAACAGCAAACTGAAGAGAGACAAGAGTCAGTGGAGTATGGAGGGTAAGATGCATTACATTACAGTGATGATTATATATATATATATATATATATATATATATATATATATATATATATATATATATATATATATATATATAATCATAAAGTGATTATACTGTAATATATATATATATATATATATATATATATATATATATATATACACATATTACTACTTTATTAAGCAATACTTTCCACAGCACTGTGGTTCTATATAGGAAGTTGAAATGCAATCTACAGGCTAGATGTTGACTACAAGCGCTGTTACTAAACAGCCTAAAGGCCCAAAGTTAATGATAATGGACCTCTGAAATGTGGCACCAAAGACAATGTATAATACACAAATAAAGTGCTCTGGAAAATGCCTAAGTCACTCTACTTATTGCTTAATAAAGACAATCAAAACCTATGATTACCAGGTAATGCTTTACAAGGGGATTATAATGTCTCTCTGCACTGGATTCTTTCACTAATGAATCTTTTAAAAGTGATATAACACTTAATTAGACTTATAAAAAAGAAAGTAATGTATAAACTGTTGCAACTTCAGTTGCCAGTGGGCTTTATAGGATCAAAACAAAAACAAGTTCTTGTTTTGTCTCTAACAAAACAAGAACAAGCCTTAATTTGTTCAACGCCACTTAAGCAGTCTTGTATCAGTTCAGTGGTGGGCCTGAAGGTCTGATCATGAAGCTATTGCAATACATTTACCTCAAATGTAGTTCATGCTCTGGAGCTACGAGGCTAATGTAGCTATCAGTAAAGAAAGCTTATACCCCACCAATTAGCACTGTGCTAATCTCATATAGAATTTCTGATGCTAAATGATGTTCTTTCGTGGAGAGTCCATGGACAATAACTGATGCATAGCTGAACAAAGTAAAGCCTGAATTTTATCTATACTTTTGTCATCATATAACTGTATGTCATAGTATGAATGTGATGATTTGGTCATGTGGTTTTGGAAAGTGAGGCATGCAGTTTGCACAATGATAATAAGCATATAAGCTTCCATTGCTAGCTGCATTAGCCTCGTGGCTCCAGTGGAAAACTAAAGCAGAGTTCACATACAAACATGTACTGGCAGGTCAACTACATTTGGGCTAGGGGGAAGATTGTGTACCACAGGTTTAAGTCGGATCTATTACTTTTTCTACTATCTCAGGTCTAAGAAGGCTGGACCCCTGTTCACACAGCAGGCAGAAGTGTGAGCGCTGCCTGGAGCGGAGTCAAAGCCAGCTAACCTGCAGACGGGCCCAGAAACCCATGATGCGGTCCTGCAGTGAGGGTGCCTACAGTCAGCGCTGTGCACCAGCCAGCACCAATACACTGCCCTATCCACACCAAGAGCACATCACCAGGGTACACAGCATGGATGCTTCAATTACAGCCAATTGTGAAGTTCCAACCAATGGCAGATTGTCCCCAGCCTCGTTGGCAGACGATGACTACAATGTCCCCTATAACTCTCCAGCGAACTTTGCGGGGCAGCAGTCATTAGAAGTGGCAGTGGGGAGGCCGAGGGGTTTCAAGGCCAGACCACGCTCTCTTCCGCGGCGGTACTGCAGGAGGCAGGATGTCACCAGCGAAGAGGCGTTGACTGACTCGAGTGGCTCCAGTCGAGGTTCTCCACAGAAAGAGGAAGACCTGCTGCATTCACAAAGCTACTGCCAGGTAGGACTTTTGCTTTGCAGATTTTTGAACACTGGTCACTTTTTGAACACTTGTTTAGAGGCAAATTCAAACTACTTTCTGTTCCTGAATTTTACTCTGACTAGTGAAAACGGGTTGTAAGACATTTTAAAACTAGTTTTAAGTATAGTGCTGTCCCAGAAGAGTAAATATGTTAAATATTTAGTGATTGTTCAGAGAGTTTCTGTAGCTTTTGTGTGGGGTACTTCTGCATTTGCTTAATACCATCAGAAAGAAGGATGTGGCAAACTGAGACAAGTGGATTGCCCATAAATGGTAGCTGAGTGAAAGAAGGCGTGATTTGCGTGACTGCTACCTTCAAAGCATTGCTGTACATAGCGTTGGGTCTCTTTTCCTGTTCAGAGTGTGAATGCACTGCGAAACTCATATTTACATATTTGCACCTATGTCATATTTACAGTTCATAATTTATTTGCACCCAACACCTAATATGTCTCTGTATACAAACAGAGACCAAAAACACTAGTGTTTGTATATGCACAGCAAATGGGCCTTAGGTGTACTGCAATTAATCCAGCACTGTAAATAATATCACTGTAAAATTACAGACATTTGCAGTACCATATCAAAAGTAAGTAACAGTAAATATCAACTGCATACTCCACAATCACCTGCACCACAAGATCACTGTAATGTGCCTGCATTCTGTATACTAATAAATTACAGTAATTTCCTGTATTTCTACATAACATCTGTAAAGGTGATGTAACTCAGTGGACAGTAATTTACTGAAAATTTACATATGAAAAATGACTTAACATATTTTAAATTAAATACACTAAATTAACATATTTATTCACAGTTTTGGACTGTATATGCACATAATATTTCAAATACAGACATTTAAAATGCAAATACACATTTTACAGGCATTTTAACTTTAACTTTCAAAGTCTTTCAAATAAAACCTGAACCATCAGAATAAAAAAATGTAATCTTTTATTCAAATATTTATGCCCCTTTTTTTTAAACTCTCAGTTGCTGTCATATCCTAAAATGCAGTGAGGTACAGTTCAATGTCAACCTCGCAGCAATTTGTTAAATTATTACAGAAAACATCTTAAGATGAGTTAATTTCACAATAAAATGATGAACACAGTATTTTACTGTGAAAAAAATAGTGTCACATATTGTATAATCTTGGCAATAACTAACAATAATTATGTGTCACTTCACATAGAGGTGGGTGATAGTGCAAAAGTATAATATGATGATACTTCAAGACATTTTCACGCTACACGATATGCATCACGATAGCCAGTAGTGCCACATTTAAAATGCTCTATGAAAAAACTATGAATGCATTGGTTTTTATTCAGTGTATCAGATACTGCACTGCACAAAATCCAATTTAGTCACATGCATGGCAGTAAAGACATTTTATCAATCTCAGTATATAGAACTGCAGCTTTCTATGAGCTACCATGTTTCCTATCACTGTATAAAAGATGCATGAGGCTTTCTTTCTTGTTGGATGCTTGTTTTTTTTCAGAGGGAATGTACAAGCTCATTCAGAGCTCTATTCAGATCAGTATGAGCTGTTTTGTTTAAACACTTAGTCATGATAAGGTCTTACTGATGTGTTACAAATTCTCTTGTTCACGATGACAGTTTTTGACACAAAATTAATAAGAATTGCAGATGTTTTGGCTTTGTTAGAACACATTCTTTACATATCAGATCAGATATATGCAACAACAGTATTTGGGAATTGCTTTATTATTCGAAAAGAGTAGATAAAATGGCAGAAACAGACACTTTTTCACCAGCTTTAAAGGGTAAAACAGGACTAATAATGCTCTCCTTTTGGTAAATAGTTTGTGTCCTTTTATACTAATATGTATTACATTATATATATTTATACTTATTCTTCTGTCTTTGGTTTCTCCACATGCTTCTAGTTTTTCTGCAGTGTGTACAAGGCTTTGAGAAAGATCTCAAGGCTTCTGTTTAAGAATGTACGTGGGATTTCAATACTTCCTCTTTCCGGGCTGGTGAATGTGGTGCACGAAGGCTGACTTTCAGATTGCAAAGATTTATGTGTGACATATGTCTCCTTACATGAGAGAGCATCATGGTTTAAATGTAATTCTAGGATTGGTGTTGTCCTCCAAGTTTCCTTAGTGTTGATTCTCTCGTGTTGGTGGAAGTGCTTAGCATGGGGCATGCTTTTGGAGTGTGTGGTTGGATTGTTGGTGTCTGCATCAGTGGTGCATGTCGCAACGATGGCAAGCAGCTATATTTCTACACCTTTGTAAAGGCTGTGCATGAAGTGTCAAGATCACCCAACCATTTCCTGTTTGTGTGACAGGAAGCGGACGAGCGTTTAGAAGGAACTAAAACAGCACTCTCTGAACCTGCCGCTGCTGCTGCGAGTGAAACACACAGGGAGGGGAGACAACACAGAGGTATGGTGTAAATTTTAATGGAGTGCTTGTGTTTATATGTTGTTGATTCATGAATAATCATGTAATAAATAATTCCGTTATCAGAATGAGATACAAAAAGATATGCTTGTGTCAGTGTCAGATGTGAAACTGATTAAAAACCTGAACCGAAGTAAATGACTGTAGTATCCATATGAAGTTACAGTTCATAGCATAATAAGGATGATATTTTTTCATGTACATGAAATGGAAACTCCACTGTTGCAGTATTCAAGGTTTGCTAATTTGCTGAGTTTTGCTGTTTGACCTGTTTCAGACTCAGAGACATCCATCCACGTGTGCAGTTCATCTAAAAGAGCCGGCCTGAAACGTCAAGGCCGTGTTGAGTTAAGCCCTGACCAGCAAATTGACCCCTGGGTGAAGATAGCAGATAGTCCAGAGAAGCACCTGCACCATCCTAAAACCATGAGTGACCACAATGGGAATAACGAGATTAATGGCACAGCATCAGAAACCACAGATGCCATCTCAAGCTCAAAGCCAGAGGAAACCCCTGGTGCTAAAAAGGGTCCCCCAGTGGCTCCAAAGCCTTCCTGGGTACGCCAAAGCCTCCGAAGCATTAAGTCTGGGAAATCGCCAGCGGAGGCTTTTAAACATCCAGACAGCAGGAGCCATGATGCTGGAAGGACCTTTGGCGTTAGTCTGAGAACCACTTCGTCAGCAGGGAATCTATCTATCAAGCAAAAGATCAGCTCATTTGAGACCTTTTCTAACACTGATGGAGCAGAGCGGACGAACAGAAGACAAGCTCCACACTCATCCCTTCCTTTGACAGAAAAAAGTCAGGCACTGTTTGAGAAGGCACAGCCTGTAGACACCAATAATGCAGGGAAAGGTAGAACCTCTGTCATCAATGCAAATGACAATGACAAACCCTCTCAACCTGACACTTCTGAACCACCTCCCACCACCGAACCATCTTCAGAAGTAGAGCAAACAACCTCTGAGAAAACATCTTCAGAAAAAGAGCAAACAACATCTGAAGAAACAGAGACATGTGATCCAGCTGTGGTTGAAAACCCCTCTGAGGAATCCACAAACCCTCCAGAAGAGATTCCATCTAGAGCCGAAACAGAGGAGGAAGCGAGTCCTCCTGAGGAAGACTTGCCTTCTGTCGGGCATTGCCCCAGAAGGTCTAGCAGTTCTAAAGATCCTCCATCGGAAAAGCCCTCATCTTCAGAAGATCAAGGAAGTCATCCTGCAAGCTTAAGAACCAGGAGTCTACCTTTGAACACCAACCCTTCTACAGATGCCAACAACCAAAGTGGTCTGGAGGGGGTTTCCCTAGAGATCATCCTGTCCTTCAGCAACCAGGTGTCCCATGCCTTGATGCGTTCCATGCAATCCCTTCCACAGTCCCCCTGCAAAAAGCTAGGTAACCCCTGGAATGCCCCACCAGGATCATCTCTTTCAAACCCTTCAGAAGAAGAAGCTTCTTCAGATGAGAAGCCTCCGCAATCCCCAGAACCAGACAACAATGACAAAGGCTTCTCTGTGAGGTATGCCTTGCTTTCAAGCATTGCCAGAAGCATGTGGAACCTATGCATTTCATAAGATAAGGTACAACTGCAGTGTAGGTTTGACAAAATGACCAGATGCTTAGGCTACACTTTGAGCATTGTACACATCCTTCATCTTGTGTGCAATTGGCATGCTAAACACATACGTTTCTTTGATGTGAAACTAGAAGAGGAAATGAAGCTTGGCTGCCTTAGACTGATACAACAGACAGACTTATCTAAAGTTCCTGTTACTAAGATAACATCATGCAAGCACCAACCACGCTATTGCTACACTAAAGGAAGGGAACTTTACCTTGAAGTAAATGAAATCTTTAGAAGAATGCTTTGAAATGTAAGCAACCTGCACAACTGAAATGCAAAAGAACTTGAAGCTTCAGATTAAAGTTGTAGTTTATGCAGGGAAGATTCTGCATTAAGTTGTAGATGAGTAGCCAGGACCAGACTTTTACTAAATTTCTGCTTTACAGCCTGGCTGAACTGAGAGAGCGCACTATTGAGAGAGGAGAAGAGTGCGAGAAAGATGATGATGGACTTGAAAGACCCCTCACCACACCCTCTGCAGTGTGCGCCCAGTCCCTGATCTCAGCACTTCCTCCCCAAGAGATCCAGCGGATGATCCAGGAGGTCAAAGACCTCGATGAGGACACCCTAAAGGTCAGTCTAATTTCACAGTGGTGGGAGAAATGGCATCTGAATCAAATAAATTCAGTGCATTACTTGTATGCATAATTATGTATAGAACATTAAACATGCAGCCAGCTAATGTCTGTTGTTGAATATTTCTCCATCCAATTCTACATATCACATGCATATGCATAGTAACCAAGGACTAGGCAACACTCCATAAGTTTGTGCGTATTGTAAAAATAATTGAAAACAGCTATTCTTTTAAAGTGTAGGCTTCTTATTCAGTTATTAAACAGCTATAAAGATAATCTGTAAGTTATATTATGAGCACAGAGACCTGACTATTTGTCTAATCAACAATCCAAACAAGCAATTTAAATAGTTTTATCCAACTTGAATCCAACTTCTTTGAGTAAAACAATACAAGAAAAAGAAGTTTAGATTAATAAAAGGAGCATGAGTTCAAATCACAAAAACATTTCAAATCAACTTCTGTGCTGTTCCACTTCACACTGTATTAACCGGCCTGATTTTCAACATTTTTAGTTTATTAAACTTTAAAAATAATACGTTAACAGAACATAAGACACATTATTTTGAACTTACTATTAGGAATTCCATTAAGCTAAAATTTTGAAGCGGCCTGGTTACTATTTTTTTTTAAATGCTTTCATTAATTTATTTATTCAGTCATTCATTTATTTATTCGTTCATGCATTCATTCATTCATTTATTACAGTGGCAGCATTAACCAGTACATCTGGCCCTCAAGTGGCCAGGTTCCAAAGTTTTATTACACACTTCTATAACCTAAGAATAACTCAGCTAGTTTACATTGTAGACTGTGTAGTAACAGAGTAATAAGCCTTAGTATGTAATAGGCCTAGGATTTCAAGGGGTTAATATGTCTGCAAATTGGAGCTTGTCCTTAGGCATTATATTATTATTTAATTAAATACTAGGTAAAATAATATAAAGAAAAAATAAAATAATGATATAATATGAAGAATGAGAATTGCTAAGCTAACTCATTGCTTCAGGGAATACAGTCATATGAAAATTAAAAATAAAAACTAAAAATAACATGTTTTGCTGATTTTCTAAGTGAAAGTAGGTTAACCCATCATCTACAGGGACTTAAATATGGCAAATTTAGTGCAGAATTGCTATTTACAAAATACAAAATATGCCATAGTTTTTGCACAGGCCACATTTGTTGTTTGACAATACAGAGACAATACAGTAATTGTACAGTAATGCCTTGTATTTGTTTGACACCCCTGTTTTTTAATAATTTGACCAAATCAGACCACAGCCATAGATTTTCAGGTTTAAACACTAGGAACACTATCTTCTGATGATGTCTCTTGAAATTGGGAGGGTTTTTCTCCACTAGCTGCCTAATGCAGATAGAAGCCAGATAGCTAATGTTACTGCTAGGAAGTATTTTTAGTTTTAGGCCAGAATGCCTCTTTAAAGGATCAGCCAATTGGCCTCATCTTAATGAGAAAAAACATACAGACAACAGCTTATTAACATAAATTAACAGAAATACCTGTAAAACATCCAGTTTAAATTTCATTTTCTACTTTGTGATCTGTTTACTGTTATCTGTGAAGAATCTACCATAGAGATAGAAATGCTGCAGAGACAGAAACACATTAGGGGCTGCAGAAAAGGGCTGGTGGGACCATTAGTTGGTATACCAGAGCACATAGCATAGCTGCCATCACATCAAAATCCCCTAGTAGCAGAGGAGACATGCCCTATCAAGCTTTTAAGCCTTGCCGTTTATAGTGTATCATTTGTCTGCCCTCGCTTCCACCGTGTTAGGTAATCAAAGTGCAGCTTCCACACTTTGATGGCTTTCCCTGTTCCCCCAGAGGAGCACTTGGCTCAGCACTTTGCTGAACATCTGTAGGCGTTTCTCCTGTTGATACTGCATGTCATCACCCCCTTAGTAACTCTTTGAGAGCTATTACCTATGAAGCACTAACATGATTCATGACTTCCTACAGGTTAATGTTGCAGCAGAGAGGGAGAGATTGCCAGTCTGATAGCTGAGTGAAGCGAAGAGTCCAGCTAGCGCACCCCTAAAATAGCAACAGAGAAATGAACAGGATGGCCATTAACAGGATGTGTGATGCACTTGCGAAATACTTTACATTAGCGAGGAAGACAGACGTACAAGAAGCTGATAAGGGCTTGCAAAGTGGACAGCTGTATCTGGGGTTAGCCATTATCTTCTCAGCAGCACAATAACCAAGTTAGCAAAGCTGACAGAGCCGTCCCCATCTGGAAATCATCATGGAGGCAGCTGCTATTTACACAGCAGTAAACCTGTGATCTCTTCATGAATGCTAATCACTCTCCAGCACATTTATATCAGCCTGAAATAGATTAGAACACTACATTTCTTATATTGTAGCAAGCCATCTTAGCCGGTCAAATGAACCATACATTTAATTGGCTCAGATGTACCCGAAAGCCTTTCTTGCTGACAGATTTACCATTACTCTCATCCATCAGCAACTGGAAGACATCCATGTAGTCATTCTGCACAAGGAGGAAGGAGCTGGCTTGGGTTTCAGTATTGCTGGTGGTATCGATCTGGAGAACAAAGCGACTACAGTGAGTACGACCTCCATATTCATGTTAGCCTCCCCCACAGCATGCTTAATCTTCTCCCAGCCCACCACAGGATTCATTTTAGCCTACCTAATGCTAACTGTCAGCCTGTCGGAGTCTTACTAGGAACAAACGTCCACTTTTGAAAAAGTTCTGAAAGTTTTTTTGCAAAAGTTATCTAACTGTACTTTGGTTTCTGGATTCGATTAACTTTTGAAATCTATTTCACTGGCTATTTCAGACCCGTAATTCAATCTGAGATCAGATACCTGATCAGATGACTTTTAGCTGAGTCATGTTTCAATGCCTGAGAGCTAAATATCACTTTTAAGCAATTTAGTGCTTGATGTTCATAATACAATGAATGTTCTTAGCTTCTTTGCACTTGCTAGCATGGCCTAGTAGCAGTTCTTTCACACTAGTTGTGTCAATATTGTCATCAAACTTTGCTTCCTAATTATAAATCCTAGGTTCACAGGGTCTTTCCACAAGGCCTTGCAGCTCAGGAAGGCACCATTGAGAAAGGAGACGAGGTGCTGTCCATCAACGGGCAGACACTGAAGAATGTAAAGCACAGCGATGCTACGGCAGCACTCCGCCAAGCGCGTGACTTGAAACAGGCAGTGGTTGTGGTGTGCAAGAGCAAAGAGGGAGGAGACAGCAGAGGAAATAACGCTAACGACTCTAGCTGCAGCAGTGGCACAGAGCCCAGCTTCACAGGTACAGTAAAGCTAGTTTCACACCATTAACCTCTGTGTATCATTGAAACAAAACCTTGAATCTCCAAAAAAGAACAGGAGAAGATCAAAAATATTCTTAACTTTTAACGCAAGCTGATGTAAAATCTTTTTGGACCAGTTCTACTGGTCTGTTCAACATGAATTGTCGATACAGTGTAAACACAGTGTCCTATCAGTTGGTCAGTCTGTGATAATCGGCTATACTCAAAGTCATGGATGTGTAATTACTATTAAACATTTGATAACAAAGCCAGATAATATGATTTTCTGCCTTAGCAGATGAGAGTGGTGATGTCTTGACCCTGGAGTTGGAGAAAAATGCAGGTGGAGTGGGTTTTAGCCTGGAAGGAGGAAAAGGCTCCATTCATGGTGACAAACCTTTGGCCATCAGCAGAATCTTTACAGGTAAGACTAAAAACCCTTCAGTGACAGTTTGTATGTTACAAACACCTAACATTAACAAATGATCAAACTGGAGCTCAATATATACTCACTAGCCACTTTATCAGAGACCTCTACCTTGTAGCTCCACCTTGCAGTTGACTTCTATCCCTTAATTACTTGTCAGTTTCTGACCACAGAGCCAGCTTTGGCTGGACATTTTTGGGTGGCAGTCCACTCTTAAACTAGCAGTGACACTGCTGTGTCTGATACACTCATACCAGCACCACACACACTACCATTTCAGAGTCACTGCTGTGCTGAGAATGGACCACCACCCAAATGATATCTGGACAACAGCGGCCCTGTGTTCGGAAATTGACCAATGATGAAAGGGGTGGAGGGATGAGTGATGAATTGTGCAACAAAAAAATTGGCTACAGACTGTAATTGTACATCTATAAGACAGGTGGAGTCCATAAGGTGGCTATTGTGTGGAAGTACAAGGTGGGTGTTTCTAATAAAGTGGCCAGTGAGTGAAAGAACAGGGTAGGTGTTTCTAATAAACTGGCCAGTGAGTGGAGGTACAGGGAAGGTGTTTCTAATAAAGTGGCCAGTGAGTGGAAGTACAAGGTGGGTGTTTCCAATAAAGTGGCCAGTGAGTGGAAGCACAGGGTGGGTGTTTCTAATAAATTGGCCAGTGAGTGGAGGTACAGGGTAGGTGTTTCTAATAAAGTGGCCAGTGAGTAGAGTACAAGGTAGGTGTACAAATGCATATGCAGAACCAACAAGAACGGAGCTGTAACACTTTAATAGAGGGCAGTGTTCATTAGGCTCCACAACACCAACATAAGCTTGACAAAGACAACTGACTTAAACCTACAAAAACATTTATAAAGGCTTATTCCAATAGGTGTCATCTATCATAAAGGCTGCTTTTGTTAACTTTGATTTCACATTAACATACTAATGTCAGAAGACACTCATTTTTTCCAACACAGGGTTGTGTCATGACACTTTGTTGGGTGAAATTACATAGTACATTATAATAACTGACTTTGTAGCTTAGTGTATGTTAATGTAATGTAGTGCTAATGATGCTACAACTTAAATCTTATAAATGGTCAAATTAATCAGGGCCACAAGAAATACTCACTTTTGTACAACTAGCCTGATGCTATATTATCAGAATTACATACACTGAGCTACGTCTTTCATTTCACCCCAGAAAGTGTCATGACAACGTAATTTCAGAAAAATGGGCTTATGTAGTCCTTGTGAACAGTGGCCTACCTTGAAGTACAGCATTAAGACCAATACGTTTGTATTTTGCTGTAACGAATGTGTTTATGTGTGTTTGTAGGCAGTACAGCGGAGCAGAAAGGTCTGCAGGTTGGTGATGAGCTGCTGCAGGTCCAGGGCTCAGCTCTGCAAGGCCTTGCACGGTTAGAGGCCTGGTCCCTCATCAAAGGACTTCCTGACGGGCCATTCACCGTCATCATCAGGAGGAAGAAAGACGAATAGAGCTAACTCCATTACAAAAGTACTGTAAACAACCACCATGGAGCCTAAGCAGTTGAACAGAGAAAGCACACAGATTAAGCCTGGTCTTATACTACAGTATTAATCACTGGAGAACCTCTAATGACAATGGAATTACATAATAATAGTAATGACAACACCGTTGTATTTGTATAGCTGTTTTTAAAAACCCAAAGATGTTTACAATGGATAAGAAAACAAACATAAAATAAGGCTAGGCTTAATCTGCTTAATATCTCTAAAGGACATTTGGCCTTGTTATTATGTTACTGTCTTATGCTTATTGGAGGTTGGTGAAAAAACAGGAAGGAGAATACTATTTCAATACTGCTTTGCATTTTCAAGCCATTCATCAGTTTCTCTGTCTTATTACCAGGAGACTAGTTATTAGGATATTTCAGAAAGCAGGCGTTCTCAGTCAGCCAGATAACTTAAGCCAAAAGTCGAGCTTGTTCAATAGAAGATGAGCTAAGGCCCATTCCTACTGGACTATCCTCACTTTGGGCTTAAGCTATCCAGCTTTACTGAAAAATAAACCTGAAATAACATGCTACAAGAAACCTGCACTGAAAAAAAAAATACTTGATTCAAATGTTTACAAAATTTCTACATGAATAAAATAAATCACGTCAGCAGTTTTTGCCAAAAAACTGGAAAACAAAATGGTGTATATTGTATTCCTTTTCTTATGTGGAAATCTGAATCAAGTACATTTTTAAAAACTTTTTTTTTTCAGTGTAGCTTGTTTTGATGAAATGTTTGTTTAGATCAAATGTTCAGCCATTTGTCTTGCTATCCAAAAAGCTTCACACAGCCTTACTGATGTTTTTTATTCATAAAAATGATTTCCGATTAGGGCTGGGTATCGAAATTCAAAGCTTTTTGTATACTCTCAGAAAGAAAGGTACTAAACTGGGTCACTGGGGGTGGTTTCATCATAACTTCAGTATCTTTAGTTGGGGAACATAATTGTACCATATTCCGATGCTGTTGTTTGAAGTTGCATTGACTCCATTTCTATTTTAAACCATTTTATTTTTCTATTTTAAAAAGTACCCTTCTACTAGGAAAATGAGTGTAGTGTACCTTTAAACTCCTTTAAGCTACACAGTTGGACCTTAAAGACACTGTTTTACGTTTGAAGGTACATTTACATTGCACACTAGTACCGTTTTCAGTGTAGTATCAACTAAATTACTACAATACTACCAGGTATTGAAACATTCAGTACCGAATTTCAACATAGAAGTAGTTGGTCTTAGCATCTATAAGCCAATAAGCATGCATGTTCTAAAATCTAGACTGCTGATTGGCTGTCTAAATTCATTATGCATGTTATTGATGTTAGTGCTTCTTGAATAGTCTGCTGTTTACCCAATTCCAGCGCCTCATACTAGTGGCTTCTGCTTTAAGCCATACCCACTTTCGGCCTGTAATTTTAAAAGAAGGTAGTGGGAAAAGTATCGTTCAGGAAACGCTACCAAACTCAAGGTATTGACATTGGTGTTGATTTTTGAGCAATACCCAGCCCTAATTCAGACCTCTCAGCACATGTAAACAGTATTTCAGAATGAAGTTTCTATGCATTGTGTTGACAGACGCACTGCTTATAAAAACTGCCTTTGTACTGTTGTACAAACACAGTCAGGGATTCATGGGGACTTGACTGCACTCAAGTTTGCCTGTTTTAATAAGGAGATTTGCACAAACCCTGTACATAGAGATACAAAACTATTTGTAAGGCACTCTAACCAGAGTATTTAACCAGATCCTTCATTAAGCAGATTGTTCTCATGTAATATGATGTTTTCACAAATGCATGCAACAACCAAATCAGGGTCTTTTTGCCCTAAAATATACTTTTTTGAAGGGTGAAGAATGGGTTGTTGCGGCTCTACTCTTAATGCAATAATTTCAGACCAAATATTCAAACACGACATGCCTCATTATAGTAATGGGAATTTGATTTATTCTTGAAAGAATCAGTACATTATATTACATACAAATATGATCGGAAGCTCCCGCTAATGAATGTTGTTCACTTTTTTTTTGTGTACAGAGTAAGTTCCTAATATATAAAAGGATTCTGTTTGACTGAGTGGAAAATGTTATTGTATTATTTTTTCCCCCCCAAAAAAACAATAAAAAATTGACTATGCAATTAATGATTAGTGTTGTACTAATAAAGAATCATTCACTGATAAATGCAAGAGACAAGTCGAGGGTCAAGAAGGTCATACTTTTATTTGATGCTGGTGTAATTACTATGTTCATACAAAGGGATTTGATTAATTTCTATTAGACTAACAATACAATAAAGGCATTTTTCCAGCAGCAGCTGATTTCAGACAAATATTCCTTGATTATTAAAAACAGAAATACATAAAAACTACAATTTGGAATGATCAAGAGATAACATGGTCAGAGCATGCCCTCCAGGTTAAGACTATGTAGAAATAATAATAATAAAAAGGAATATAGCCACAAGTGTTCCATGCACAAACCAAGGGGGACCAAGGGGGCGCTCTAGCTTATCTGTGTAACATATTGAACTTTGAGGAAGGACTGCACAAGTTTAAGCTGTGATAAATTAAGAACAAGCATTCAGTCAGATTTGATATTCAGCTTTGCAAGGCATTATTTAATAAATACTGAAGGTGGCCTGAAGTTTACACAGAAAGACCGTCGATCAAACTATTTAAGGCTGCACTATGTAAGTTTTGGGGTTTGGAGACCTCTCTGGTGGAAATGTGTAATTACATGCAATGTGCGGAAGAGCATTCTGTTGCTTGGGTTGTGCTTCAGTTGTCTTCCCCGAACTGATTAATCTGATGAGTGAAAGAGAGTTCAAAGAGAACCCAGTCTAAACTTGGCGAAGGATGCGTCTTCTAAGGATGTGAGTGAATTATCAACTATTGTCACCATATCTACAGCAGTATAATGTTGATTTCCAGATAATTTGAGGCCCAAACATTGAGACTGTGTGTGTGTGACGTTAATATGTAAAGACGTAAGACATGGTTTAAAAAAACTCGTCCCTGACTTGTATATTGTTATTTCAGATTTTTTCTCCTGGCTCAGTGATGCTACTTCTTCCAACTGTAACAAAAAATCTTACATAGTACAGCCTCAAGATGTTAATTGTCTGTTACCTTAGCTAACATTCCTTGACACACCATAAGTTATTTCACTTCATATATTTTAATTCAAAATACTGAGTTTGAGAAGAGCTGGCGAATTCCAAAGGTCAAAAATTCACTAAATAATGTTGAAAGTTTTATTCCACTAAATCAACATATACAGAGTGTAAAATGAGCTTCAGCTAATTGTTTCTGCCATGCTTCCAGTGCTATAGCTGTGCTGTCTGGTAGGTGTACACTGGAGTTCAGACAGCCCGTTTTTGTTTTTTTTAAACATGAAAATCTACTGTCAGACAGAAGCTAAATAACATATTAAATCATCAGATTTATTCAGTTTATGAATGTCAGGCTAGCTGGCTGTAAAATGTTTGTGGACTGGGCATCTGTTGATGATAGACAGAGAAAGATGATTGTGTAAAACGTGCCAAATCTGGTGAACATCAGCCTGACAGTTTGTGAATTTGACATATTTTGGAAAAATGTGAACATGTGTATGCTCAGTTAGGACGATGTACCGCAAAAGACTGTCAAGGTTGGAAAGAATTGGACAAAATGTGCAAGATCTGTGTGCTGTGGCGCCCCCTGTTGGTCAAAGTGCACCAAAGTTGGTGTGCAAATTCAAAGGCACACCCTTTGTCAGGACTGGTAAGGACTGTGCAAAGCACTGAGGATATAGAGCTATTTTTGGGGTGTGTGGCTTCCCTGCTGTAATGAAATGTCAAGATATTTTGGATAATTCTTAACTTTCAGACTCGCGTGAGTGGTTTGAGTCCAGGTTTGTGAAGCTTGAACAGTTTCCAGCACCTTAATCTAAATAACCAGAACCCTGATAACCTCTTAGTCTATGGGCAGCTATTGTAATTCAACATTATACCAAAGACAAAAAAGTATATTTTTATAGTAAAATTATAATAAAAACAGGATTAAAAAAGCAATCACTGCATAACATGAACATGCTATGAACATGCATTCAATGACAGTAATATCACTGAGGACTAAACACAGACGGTCATGCTCTTCAATGCAACACCAGTAAAGAAATGAGACAGACGCACACTCATCAGACTTCGTACAGCACAGCAGATCACTGACAATCCAACAGATGCATTGAATTTACTTGATTCAAATGCATACACATATGGAAATATGCAAATTTCCACACAAATAAAATACAGAATATACTAAATAACATACTAAGTCTTATTATTCAGGAACTACAGGGACCTCAATACAAACTGGCTGAGCTATTCTTATAGAAGTGTGTAATAAAACTTTGGGCCTGCCAATTGACCGTAATAAGCCTTAATAATTAATAACACAATTACTGCCAAAATACATAAACTGAAAGACGTAACTGTGTTGACATTATCTTATTTATGTGGAAATTAGAATGAATTCAGTGCATTGTTTTTTTTTTTTTAGTATACGGCATCAACCTGGTCCCTTTTATATTGTGCAACTTATAAAGATTCAAGCTTTCAATGATCAGTAAAAATCACAGTGATATTACTAACCACTGCTTCTGTCCCCCCTATATTTCACTGTGGTTTGAAGGGGAATTCCACAAATTTTTCACAATTTACTCATAATTTAATCTTTAAGTCAAGTCTGAATTGTTCACAGTGGTGGTGATAGGAACCACATGTAAACCTCTAAAAGCTCCCTCACAGAGTTATTACATGAAATGGTTATGAATACACAGCCTGATGTCTGACACATTATTTTAAAAATATACTTGAGAAGATTTTATATGCATGGTAGAGGGATACAAATAAAACTCATTTTAACACTATTTTCCCATCACCAACATTCCAAATAAAACTCAGAAGACATGTGTGGGTTCACTGGTGTTTTTGGACAGTAAATAAAATGTCTATATTAGTGCTGTAGTCATGGTGACCCCTGGTTCCTATCACCACCACTGTAAAGAAATCTGAACCATTTCACACCAAACCACTCTGAATCACTCTGTTTACATCTCAAACACTCAATTATGCAGAAATTTGGAAAAATTGGTGGAATTTCTCCACGTTCTCCACAGGTGTTTATCTCGTTTAAAAACTTGACAGTGTTACTAAGAGTGCAGGCAGTGGCTTTTTCCAAAGATTCAAGTTTGATTCAGTGTTTTTCTCTCCCTTTTCGTAATTAGCAGTACATTTACAGAGATGTAATCTGAGTAAGTCAATAAGACCTACTGTACTAGGTAGGAATGCCTAAACGCAGCCTTATCCATATTAATGTCTCAATTCAAAACTATTCATATGACATGACATCAATTGAGAGAAAGTGGGTTGGTCCCTACGTTCACAATTTACTGATTAATTTAACTGAAAACAACTAACTAACTAATAAAATGCTAATAGGTTAGGGTTTATTACATTATGTGTGCGATTAAAAAAAACCCTCATAGCTCATCTCTTCACTGTGGATTCCTGATTCCTGTCACTGAGCAAAATCAATACATTTCAAGATTTGTCTTTAACATTTCAGTACATGTGCATATTTTAGGAAGGATTAAAAAAAGGGGACAGACTGAAAAGGCTTCTGTGTAGTTACTAACCTTACTGAACTGTAACTGCATATTTGGCTATCCCAATAACAAACTCTCAGTGGAATCATGCAGAGTGATGAGCCTTAATTTCTATATTAATGTAAATATTTGTTGTTTTCTTTATGGTACCGTTATTGTTTGGAGTCTAATTAATCCTTAAGTACTCAAAATACAACTCACATTAAGCAAATGTAAACAAATTTAAATGATTTAGGTTCGTCAAAAAAAGTACTTATCATCAATATGTAGGCCTTTAAGTGATGGACTGGAATTAAAGGGGAATTCCACCAATTTTTCAAAATTTCTACATAATTACACTGTGATATAAACAAAGTCATCCAGAGGTTTGATGTGAAATGCACCATTCTGGGAGGGAGGGATACATGCTGGGCTTTGTGAGGCAAAATAGCCCCCTTAAGCATTTTTTATTATCACTATTTTCACATTAACATTCCATCTAAAACCTCAGAAGACACATGTAGGTGCACTGGTGGCTTTGGATAGTAAATAAAATGTCTATATTTGTGTTGTAGACATGGTGACCCCTGGTTCCTATCACCACCACTGTAAAGAGTTAGTAAGTTTCTCTACAATGAACAAACTTCACATCTAACCACTATGAATGACTTTACATCTCAAACATTAAATTATGCAGAAAAAATGGTGGAATTGTCCCTTAAACGTTTGCAGTCATGGTGATTATGTTTTAAACAGTGAATTTTCTTTTCGACGGTGTCTTAAGCTTCTGTGAGTATTTCTGAGCTTCTAAACGTGAACAATTACCAATTTATCAACTACCCTTCAGGCACTGAACTCCTGAGTGAAGTTAGTTATGAACTACTGTAAGAGCTACAGCATTTAGATTTTTTTAAATTGAGTTTCCAAGATGTAAATATAGTTCATACCCATAAAAAAGAAATATATGTAAAATAAATCGATCTAAAAGATCTGAAAATGTACTTGATAAATGCTGTTCACTTCAGTACTTCAGTTTGGAATACATTTCGATTGGATTTGAAATGTGTCTCACATATAAAAACATGTATGCCTATGTATTTCTTTCCATATGTGTAGACACATGACCATTACTTCTTGCATTTTTGAAAAAGGTGATGCATTGATTCACATAATTTCCACATGAATAACATAGAACACATCAGTATAGTGTTGGCTTTCATGTTATGTACATTTGGCAGTAATTATTTTGATGTAATACATTTTATTCATATGGAAATGATGTATATACTTGAATTAATTCAATGCAGCATTTTTTTCTGTGTGGCAAATGCATGATAAAATACAGATATATGAAAAACTGAGGTATGAAATGTTTAGGGTCTGCTTCTCAACTGCTGACCGGGATACATCGCTACACAGCAGTAACTGCTGATTAGACATACAGTACCTTCAGCACTCCCTACTGCACATGTGCATGTGTAAATAAGTCGAGTTAACTGGACTTGAAGATGTTTCTTCCCTCATTTAAGAGCTACATCAGTTTTCCCTCAAAAGAGTGGCAATGTCCAGTCTCTAGCAGCAGAAAAGCTCCAACTGTGCTGCAGGACCAAATGTACCTTTGTTTAGACTTAAAATCAATCAGTACAATCAAACTACAAAACTGCCAATAAAATGAACCTGTTTAAACACTGAAGCACATGGAGTTGTATGTAAGTGTATGGTTTTGCTGTAGCAGCATTAAAACTTTCTACAGGCCCTGTGAGACACAAACAGGTTCTACTGCTATTTCCATCAGAAGCCTGTGGAGAACTCCAAAGTTCTGTAAAACACTTAAAAAACGATCAAAACTAAAATTAAAATCACTGTAAAACAACCAGAGAAGGTTTTTTTTGTAAGTAATGGGATACCACTTTAAGAGGATGTTCTAGAGTAAGTGCTGTTAGTGCTATTTGAGAGCTTTGACAGCTTTAGTGAGGTTGGAGTAAAAGTCTGTCATACTGGCAGGAAAGAACGAATCCACAACTGAACGAGGAAGCAAACCTCCCAGATCGGTCTGGAAAAAGCTGATCAGCTGGGTTTTACCTGCTTCCCTGTGAACCAACAGAAAACAGAGAGAATAAAGGCACACATTAGCCTGCAGTTTATAATAATAATAATAATTAAATAATTAATTAACAATACTAACATGCTTACAATGCTAGAGCTTGACTGTATTGGCAGTAGTGGTTGAATAATCTACCAATTCTTTTGATGAATAATCAGGTAATCATTTTATAATTATTAATCATTCACTTATCAATTAATTGGCAATAATAATGCATTAAACAACACCAGGATAGGCTCCAGCTCCCCCCAGCTCCCTATCCTTCTTCGACCCAGAAGGATAAGCAGCTTAGAAAATGTGTGTGTGTGTGTGTGCATTAAACAATACTAGGGCTATCATTACTGATTGCAATGACTACATTAGTAGTTGAGTAATCTTACTATTTCAATGAGTAATTGGGTAAATTGTTGTAATTATCAATAACATGCTTATTAATTAATTATTAATAATAATACATTTAACCATAGTAGGGTTGTTATTATTGACTGTATTGACTACATTAGTAGCTGAGTAATCTAATTATTTTGATGAGTAATTGGGTAATTAGTTGTTATTATCAATAATATGCTTATTAATGAATCATTGACCATAATAATACATTTAAGAATAGTAGTGCTGTTATTATTGACTGTATTGACTACATTAGTATTTGAGTGATCTACTATATACTTGTTGCTAATTAACAAGCAATCAGTTTCTACTCATGAATAATCCACTGATTAATTGATTGTCATTGTTGATTATATTGACTAGTCATCTGTTGATTACTTTGAAAAACAACTGAGTAATCAGAGTTCAAACAATACAAATGAGCTTAAGTGATCTGCAAAATACTTTACTGGAGGAAGAGAAGCTAGAAAGCCCCAGAAAAACTAATTAATAAGTAATAAATAATAAATATAAGCACTATGTTGCAAAAAATGCGTACACACAAGCAGCAGGAAAATTTAAAATGAGCATTACCGTCATGCAAACGGCTGATTCTCAGAGAAAGTAAACTGTATTCAATATTTCTTAATAGAGTGAACTGAGTTTAGTCAAACAGTTACACATGCACAATGAGGCACTGTGATTACAGGCAGAAATAAATGTGGTAAAAGGTAAAAATTATATTTTTTGAAATCAATTGAATTCATTAAGCTCCAGTGAGCTTCACAGCTCTCTGCTTCCACCTGCTGTTTGCTACTGGAACTACACCCTGTAATCACAGGCGGCACTGTTGGTAATTAGTGCAGTGGTTTATTCCAGGAACTCAGTTCCCCCGGTGGCTTACCCAGGAACTGGCACACAAAAGCAGCCACATGGATGATTGAACCCGCGCACGTAGCCAGGCTGAGGAGGACAGGCTGGATGGCTCACATTAGTGGCTACAGAGACATAAGACGACATGAGAGTGGATTTCTATTAGTGAGATAATACAGATCAGTTTGTCCCTCTGTCTATTCCTATCCATGTCAGTGAGCACTGAAAAGCAAATATGACCCAGAATAAGAACTAAAGGCTATCTGTCTGGCTGTGAGCAAACACTGATACATGTACACTAAAAGCAAGGCTGAAAAGTACTGCTAAAATGTCACTTTCAGGCATTCAGAATAAATACTAGGTAGCATTTTATTTGGAGCGGTCTTTTGTAGATGATTAATAAACTCTTAAGAGATTATCAGTAACACATCAACAACACTATTTCCATTTTGCAAAACCTAACCTTACCAACCTTACCCAAAACCTAACCCTAACCCTGGCCCTAATCCTAACCCTAACCTTAACCTCAACCCAAAACCTAATCCTAACCCAACCTTACCCAAAAATAAACCCTAATCTTAACCTGAATATAAGCAGTATAGAGTAATACACTGATTTGGCAAGCATTACAAATGCAGCAAAATCAATACAATGCAGATGTCCAATATGTTACACTCAGCAATTAAACAGAAATTGCAATTAAACTGAAATTTTCAGAAAATGCCATAAATTTGTTTCCTGTAGAAGATAAGTTAACTTCTTTTCAGTCTGAAAATCACAAGTGTCCGAACATTTGCATACAACTATGTATAATCACATTAGTGACCCTCTGATAACATGGTTAAAGACAGACCTGCACTGTTTTGTCTACAATTATTTACCTTATTCATTTATTTATCATAAGGAACATCTGAATGCTCGTAGCACACAGTAAAGACAGTGGTAATTTCTCAGAGCTCATTTGCATCTCAGCATTGCAAATGCCAGTATCCCAATAATGATCAGCAAATGATATTTTGTGCAGCTCTGACTGAAAATGCACTAAAGACTGTGGCAGTGTACACTTGTTCTCCAGACGTTTCAGGGCGTATTTAGAAGAATTCAGAAGAGCTGGGTTACATAAAAGGAGACAGAAACGATACAAAGCTTAATTGCTCCACACACCATTTGACGTAATTGTGCCATCTTCGTACTGCTTGACTAAAATAACGTCCACGAAGTCTCGAGGTGATATAATGCCCATAGCGGCAGACGGAGTGACAGTCCTGCACACTGTGATGTCCTGAGGGAAGGAAGAAAAGCCATTACACACCAACGGAAACACCTGGGGCGCTAGATTGGTACAAATGAAACATGAAATGAAACATCGCTAGGAGGACGAAACCACTGACTACACAAATATGGACGAGATCACTGCACTAAATCACTGCTGTACTAAAATCACAGCTACAGAAATTACCTAGTGCATGACTTTAGCCACAGTCTTAAAAAAGAGGGTTCTTTAAAGGTTCTTTAATGACGAAAATGTATATAGAACCATGAATGGTCAAAGAACCCTTTGCATGATTAAGGGGTTCTTTGCATGGTGAAAGGGTTCTTCAGATTGATGGAGAATGTGCTGTAGATGGTTTTGTGTCGAACCTTTGGATGGATGGATGGATGGATGGATGGATAGATAGATAGATAGATAGATAGATAGATAGATAGACAGATAGATAGATGGATGGATAGATAGATAGATAGATAAGGTTCTTCTGTGTTTACAAGCTCATAACAATAGCACAACCCTTTTTGTTGCTTTATAGAACCATCTTCAGCACATTCTCTATCAATCTGAAGAACCCTTTCACGATCCAAAGAACCCCTTAATCATGCAAAGGGTTCCTTGAGTGTTCATAGTTCTATATAGAACCATTTTCTTTACTAAAGAACCTTTGAATAACCATCTTTTTAGGAGTGCAGTTAAAGAAATACTCCAGCGTTTTTCAACTAAATCTCTATCTGCAGCTCTATTAGTTAGACATGCTATTATATGCTATCTATAGCATATGATCACCTTCAAAGCACCTTCAATACTTAAACTCTAAGGGTCTATATGGGGGTCCACACTTCAATCCCTCACTCCCACACCGACAGAACTTACACATTAGTTTCATAGTAGTTACTAAAATATTTATAATAATTACTGAATAATACACAGAAGTTACTGTATAATTTATATGTACTAAATAATTTATAGTAGATACTGAACAATTAATACAATGAAATGAAGTTTTTGTCCGAAAACGTATTATTGAAATCCATTCATGGTGAAGTGGTACACGCAGGGCATTTTAGGGCAAAATATTACTAAAAGGATTTTCCACTGTTTTACATCATCAGCATTCCATATAAACACTCAGAAGACACGTGTAGGTTCACTGGTGGTTTTGGACAGTAAATAAAACAACTATATTTGTGACCTCTGGTTTGTATCACCACCACTGTAAAGAAATCTTACAGAAATATGTCAGTTTCTTTGCAATAGACCATTTCACACCAAACCACTCCGAATGGCTTTGTTTACATCTCAAACACTGAATTATGCAGATATTTTGAAAAATCATTGGAATTCCCCTTTCACCTTAATAAGTGAATGACAGGCCTGCAGTTTGAAAGCTTAGCGGATCTGGGCTGAGACTTAGGAGAATGAACGTGAGAAAATGCTCATCACTGGTGTGGAACTTACTGAAGAAACTTGTTCAAGCAGCTCGAACTTCTTGACGTTGTCATCCCATTTCACACGAAGCCCGTTTGGATCCGGTTTCAGACACTCCCACACTTTCTGAGGACTGCCGTTCACCATCCCCTCTCCTTTATACCTGCCAGAGTCGGAGAAGCATATAGTGGCGTATGAATCTCACGCTATTATTCCTGATGAAAATGAAAGGACTAGAAATAATAATAATAATAATAATAATAATAATAATATCATTATTATTATTATTATCATTATCATTACTAATAATACATGTAGCACATTTTTCATGCCCATGATTGCTTCACATAGACAATTCATCAACAAAGAATAACTACACACTATCCATATGCTAAGAAAAAAATATTTACATACATATTCCAAAACGTGTCAAATATCGAATACATTTAAACATATTTTTAACATATATATAATTTTTTTAAATTGATACTATTACATATATTTGGCACACATATATGCATTTCAGCATGTTGCCATACACTGATCAGCCATAACGTTAAAAACACCTTGTTTCTACACTCATTGTCCATTTCCTCAGCTTCACTAACCATATAGGAGCACTTTGTAGTTCTATAGTTACAGACTGTAGTTCATCTGTTCCTCTGCATACTTTGTTACCCTGTTCTTCAGTGGTCAGGACCCCCACAGAGCAGGTATTACTTGGGTTGTGGATCATTCTCAGCACTGCAGCGACACCATCACCTTAGTGTCAGTGACACAGCTGTGTCTGATCCACTCGTACCAGCGCAACACACACCAGCACGTCAGTGTCGCTGCTGAGAATGATCCACCACTCAAATAATACCTGCTCTGTGGGGGTCCTGTGGGGGTCCTGACCATTGAAGGACAGGGTAACCAAGTATGCAGAGAAACAGATGGACTACAGTCTGTAAATGTAGAACTACAAAGTGCTCCTATATGGTCAGTGGAGCTGACAAAGAGTGTAGATACAAGGAGATGGCCATTCTGTGTATATTTACCACACTTGTATGCATGTTGACATATACAGGTATATATTAATATATATTTAAATATTTAAAAGTTTAATATAGCATATATATTTATCACATATATTGCACATATATATTTTTAATATGAGCCAATGCATATACATATATTTTACATGGAAATGAGAACTTTTACAACACAGTTTCACTTCTAATTGGCTACCATATTAAAAGATAACCAATCAGATTGAAACATCTGGATGTGGAAAAGAATCTCAGTGCAGCTGTTGAGGAAAACTATTAAAGAGAAAATATCTATATAGCTAAGTGCCATTAAATGTGTTTTAGACTGACAGATGAGAGAGCAAGAGAGACAAATACAGAGAGTGTGTCACTTTTAGTTATATAAGCAGTCCTTTCTTATTATCCTATATCTTGTACTCACATATTCCCAGCAAATTCGGCTGATGGTCTCCAGGACACCACAACTTCACTCTGGATAAACATCACACACGGTTGTGTAACTTCATTTTGCCTTATTTCACCCAAATCCAGTGTAGAAAATATCGCTTACTCACCGTTTTCTTGCATATTTTCCAGCCGGATTGGTCTCTGCTGTAGCTTAACAGGAGCTCCGCGACGGAGTTGGCCTTTCCTTCATAATCCATAATCATAAAAAATGTCCTTTACTGGAAAACAGAGCGAGTGGCGTCGAGATACAACACAGACACCGACCAGAGCCACTGTAAAAGCCTCTGATGAGGAGCTCACAACTCATTCATTCCAGTCCAGGACGAGGATCAAGTTGGCTTCCCATTCGCCAGGATCTTCGACTTTTCCGTTCCACCTTAAATGGTGCAGCAGTTACATTACGTCGCCTGTAGGATTTGAATAAGAGTCCAGTTCACTTTCACAAGCACGTCGTACTTAAATGATGTAAAGCTATCATAAATATCTATGATTATTCTGTAAATTAACTTCCTGCCTTTCGTTTTCTTCCTTTAAGAGAATCTTTCGGAGATTTTTCCCGGATAGCTCGGTTTCCTTAGCCTACAGCACGTGACTGCGTTGCATTCTGGGAAATGAAGTTTTCTTTTGATTGTCGGTGCAGAGGGAATTAAACTGGGGCTGTACTTGGGCCCATAGTCAGAAATTTTGTAGAGAGGAGAAATACCTCTTTGTAATGTCTTCCGGGTTTTTCAAACGCTAGAGGGCGCTCTAGAATGAATGAGCTCAGATGGCATTTGAGCAAAATCGTAGTTTATAAAAGCTTACACATTTAATAATACATTCATTTCCTGAACACCGAATAGCATAAAACATTTTAACACTGCTGTTATTTTTTTAAGAGCTTTTGAACTCAAGATATAGAAGTTTAAAACGGCGCCTCATGTATGTTCATGACGTCAAGCAATCAGCATTCATTAGCAGTGATGTTGATGTCGTGCTGCCCAAAATCTGTGTGCAGAAAAATAGTAAACATACAGGTTATTTTTATTTACTTTGTTAGTGAAATACATCCTTCTACTTTCTAAAATTAAAAGAAAGTTCTGGACAAGTGGTTAGAAACTACTTTAACTTTTCATCTTTAGCCGTTTAGCTCCATTTACTCCCATTCATTGAGGACTCGCTCTGGTGCAGTCCTGTTTTTGATATAACAGGGGAAATAGGAAGTGAGCAGGCTCCCCTTAAACCCGCTCTGCCATAGCCTTCTTTTGTTCACTGTAAGCAATTATTAAAAGTCTGAGGAACACTAAAATATGAAAATGTTTGTATGATGCTTAACTTGAGTGTTACTTTAAACATCCAGAAAAAATGAATGAAAAATATAAGCTATAAATAAAATAAAACATGGATTAAAACAGCAGATCAGACCTATCTGAGAACTGTGTGGGCGTGGCTAATGAGCAGCTTGATTGACAGCTCTCTGTCTAACACTCCAACTTGCTCCAGCCGTCATACAGAACTAAAATCAGTATTCAGCTTTGATGTGACGCTAACTGGACGAAAGAAGTCACAGATGAACGGATGGAGGGAGGAAGCAATGAATGAACAAACAATGTTGGTGTTGTATAAATGAATGAACAGGCGACAGGCAGCTATAGACAAGCGGTCTAGCTTGCTAGCTTTTGGTTATGCTGGATTAGCTTTAGCTCGCTAAGTTTTTGTGACCCTGAAACTGTTCTGGGTGGGCGAGGTAGCCCTGTGATTGGTCAGGGGAATGCTTACGGAAGCGTTACTCAAGATTCGGGCCGTCCAGTGTACATCAAGAGGATTTTTTTATTTGGTTTTTATTTATTCATATTGTTATATCATGTTGTCATATTTATCTAAAACTCTCCTTAGATTATTTTAATAGGTCCATATCATAGAAAACATAATTTTTAATCACTTAAATAAAAGAAGTTGATTGTTCAGTGTTCATGTTTTGCAATAAACTATTCACTTGTATAGAAGTTAGGCTGCAAAAGTGGCTAACTGTTTGCATACAGGCTATCTGCCGAATTAGCCTGCAGTGGCTTCACAAAGAAGTTATAAGGAGTGTTTCAGCCTGGACTGCTTCCTGAATGAGGCACAAAACAAGGCAGCCAATCAGAACAGAGCTCATTTGCATCTAGCATTCTAAAAGACAGTAATAAAAACAGCCTGAGTTTGTATGAATTTAGAGGGATAAAAATAAAACACAAGAGAAATGTAGGACATGGATTCACTCATGCCACATTATGTATTTGGATTCTGAAAACTGTTAGCAAATGTTAGCTAACAGAATAGCATCTAATATCCACATAGCTTTTAGGAGATTTAGCCATCTGTGAACAGAATAATGAGCTACGTACTGATACCATTTTACTGAATAGCAGATTTGGGGTGTTAAGTTAAGTTTTATGCAATAAATTCGGTCCAAATTGGAGTTCTTGGCCACTGTATTGTCAGACAGAGCTGCTTGGGTGCCTTTTACTGGAGGACAGGGGTTTGGATCCTGTGTTAATCTAGAGAGACAAAGAAATCGGACACAGCAGTCTAAAGTAATCCAGTTTTAATATGAATAAAGTTTTTCCCGCTTTTTGGTAGATGAGAGTCTTTAGCAGAATGTGGTCAATAAACGGCAAGTTTGGGAACCTCTACGTGATTTTTCTGTTAGTTATGTCAACACTGACATTACCTTTGACCCAGAGTCCTGTGACAACAAGGGGCATGATTAATCATTAGCCGAAGTCTCTTGAATCCAGCTATTTACCTTTACACCGTATACATCTCTGACTTTGTTTGGCATCAGTCTATATAGAGAGTATATCTACCACATGTATGCAAATGTACACCTGGTCATTTCAAAACATGTCTCCTATATTTTGGTCATTGTAGCATCACCTACAGTATGTGCTTCACCATGATGTAGGACGTGTGTATTGTTCCTGCATTATACAGAATGTATCACATTTATGCAAAATGTACATTTGATTCTTGCAAAATACAGCTCCTACATATTGTTCATTGTAGCCAAGCCTGCATGTGCTTTACAACAAGGCAATGAGACAGTAGTGCAAACCAAAAGCTGATCCTCTATCATTACAACAATCTCATATGAACCCTTAGAAATACTTCTATATTTAATTAAAGTGCAAAGTTCAGAGACCACCATTCAGTGATTTAATTTACAATCAATTTCAGATAAGCATAAGTTATTCAGTTTTTCAGTCAGGTAAAAGATCAGAATAGAATATAACGCATACAATTCAGTATTCTACAGAGCCATGTTGGTGACATCCCGTATAAATAAAAATAATGCGTGGGCACAAGTTAGTAAGGTGTGGGAATGAGATAATTAAGTCATGGCCATGACTTAGTAAGGCGTGGAAACAAGATCATGCGTTACTGAGTCGTGGCCACACATTAGGATCTTGTCCCCATGCCTTACTAAATAGTGGCCATGCATTAGGATCCCGTCCACATGCCTAAGTTGTGGCCACAACTTAATTATCTTGTTCCCACGCCTTACTAAGTCATGGCCATGCATTAGGATCTCGTCCCTATGCCTTACTAAGTCATGGCCACAATTATCTTGTTCCCATGGTTTACTAGGTCGTGGCCACACATTAGGATCTCGATCCCATGCCTTACTAAGTCATGGCCACAACTTAATTATTTTGTTCCCATGGTTTACTAAGTCGTGGCCGTGCATTAGGATCTCGACCCCATGCCTTACTAAGTCATGGCCACACATTAGGATCTCGTCCCCCATGCCTTACTAAGTTGTGGCCACACATAAGGATCTTGTCCCCATGCCTTACTAAGCCGTGGCCACGCATTAGGATTCCGTCCCCATGCCTTACTAAGTCGTGGCCACACAAAAGGATCTTGTCCCCATGCTTTACTAAGTCGTGGCCACACATTAGGATCTCATCCCCATGTCTTACTAAGTCGTGGCCTCACATTAGGATCTTGTCCCCATGCAGTGACTAAGTCATGGCCACAACTTAATTATCTCGTTCCCACACCTTACTAAGTCATGGCCATGCATTAGGATCTCGTCCCTATGCCTTACTAAGTCATGGCCACAATTATCTTGTTCCCATGGTTTACTAGGTCGTGGCCACACATTAGGATCTCGATCCCATGCCTTACTAAGTCATGGCCACAACTTAATTATTTTGTTCCCATGGTTTACTAAGTCGTGGCCGTGCATTAGGATCTCGACCCCATGCCTTACTAAGTCGCGGCCACACATTAGGATCTCGTCCCCCATGCCTTACTAAGTTGTGGCCACACATAAGGATCTTGTCCCCATGCCTTACTAAGCCGTGGCCACGCATTAGGATTCCGTCCCCATGCCTTACTAAGTCGTGGCCACACAAAAGGATCTTGTCCCCATGCTTTACTAAGTCGTGGCCACGCATTAGGATCTCATCCCCATGTCTTACTAAGTTGTGGCCTCACATTAGGATCTTGTCCCCATGCCTTACTAAGTTGTGGCCACAACTTAATTATCTTGTTCCCACGCCTTACTAAGTCATAGGAACGCATTATTTTTATTTATATGGGATGTTACCAGTGGGGCTCCGTAGTACGAAGTGTGTTTACCATTTGCATTTATTCCAGTTTCCATTCTTTTCAGGTGACTCACTTTCAGTTCCTCAAAGAAATCTGCGGACACACCTCCAAAGTTCAGTCTTAGAAGTTGGTTGATCATTTTCTGAAGTAATCAAACACATTCAGTGATGTTGAGGTCTGGACACTGGGGTGGTCAGTCCACTGTTCAGCTTCTTTGTTTGATGTGTCTCCTTTTCTCACTGTGGCTTCTTCACAGCTACACATCCTTTCAGACCCATAGCGCTGAGTTGTCTTCTCACAGTGGAAGGATGGACAGAAACACCTGTGGATGTTTTCAGATCTGAAGCAGCTTGATTTTCTCCTCTCTCTCACAGATGAAAGCTTTAAGTGCTGTTTATCTGATCGGGACAGTTTTGGTGTCTACCAGGTCTTCCAGGTGGTTGTTAGGAGTCTCAATTTCTCTGTAGCTGTTAATCACTTTTAGAACTCTCCGTTTTTTTTTTTGTTTTTTTTTACTTATTTTCCTTTGACTGTCTCTTCCTTATGCAGGTGGATTACTTTATACCTAATCTCCTCCGTAATATCTCCTAAAAAATGAATAACCTAATAGGCATTTTAGCTGGAAATGAAATAAAAGAAGGGTGGTCTCTGACTTTTTCATCAAATTCAAATCATAATAAAATATCTTCTCCTGTCACTGCAAACACAAATGTGGTATGGATTGAAAGTTTAGAATCTGCACTTCCCACAGAATTTCTCCCTGTGTTTAAAAGAGCTATGAATCAGAAATAATTCATATAAAATCACAGCATGCTAACTGATCACTACGACTTCTAAGGCTCCAGTAACTTATTATTAAGTAATGACAGTCGAATCAAACATTTGAGCACACGAGATCATTCGATCCAGATGCATTCACTTCACCACTAGTTTTGGACTTCTTTTTAGTTAACTTAGTGCTGTGCTTCAGGTATTTCTCCTTGTTGTGGATGACCTGGATATACTGGTCAGTGCTGCTGTTCTGCTGGTCGCTGCTGGACGCTAACGAGGCTGAATCGGATTCCGTTAGCGACGGTTCCCCCTTACGCTTGCTTTTCGGCTTGACGTGAGGTTCTCCGTGCCGGTGGGCCGTCTCTGCAACTTTGAGGTTCATGCGGGAGCTTTTCGGACGAGAACTTTTCTCCTCCCATTCTCCGCCGCAGTCTTCTTCCTCTTCTTCTCCATATACGCTTTGCGCCAGGCGGCTCTCCAAGGTGTCTCCGATGTAAAAGCGTGCAGGCTGATGGAGGTCGGAAAGTGACCTCGGCCTGTGGGACTGCCCGAATGACCCTCTTCTTCCTCCATTCTTTGCTTCCTCCTCTTCCTCCTCTTCTTCTTCCTCGCTGAGGTGCGGCTGCTGGCTCCGGTGGGGCGTGCGAGGGATGTAGCGTTTGATGTTTCGAGGGTAAAGCTCCACTATCTCAGGTTCGTCCACCAGACAGTAGTGCCTCGGGATGCGAGTGGTGGAGCGCATTAGCTTCTTGCGCGGTTCGTGCTCATTGACGATGACGTAGCGGGTGGTGTGTGCACGCCGGCCCATGTAGCTCTGGGATGTGATGATGCCGGGCTCAGGGCGGACAGGCCTGAGGTTCTTCCTGAACAGCGGGTCGGAGTGGATGTTTTCAGTGTAGCGCATGGACGGATTGTAGGCCATTTGGTGATATGATTTGGAACCGTGGGAGCCACTCATTCCACCCAGATAACCTGGATGCCTGAGGAACATGCAGAGAACTAATTACTCATATGATAGCTACGCAGAGAACCTGAATTATATATACAACCTGAGTTAAATATAAAGGAATGTGTAGGTGAAAAATCAAATTTATAAAAACCACACTTTCTCCTTAATCTGCAAAAGAATGCAATCATAAGAATGTTGTAATATCATGTAACTTAATTTTAGATGTTTTTACTTGTTTTAATTAATTTCATCTAGAGAAATGGTCATATTCTATTAGCAGATTATTTTGCTTATTTTAAGATTTAATTTGGCATATTTTCCAGAAACAAGTCAAAAAGAATGAGACAGTTTCATATAAAAAATTAAGTAAAACTAAAAGGGGAAAGTTTATGAACAATTTTTGTCAAGTCAGCTTGACAAAGCTGTTGCTATGAAATCCCAGGTGATTGCAAAGATTTTGCTAGGCTGATGCTATGGAATACCATGTAGTTGCTAAAGTGCTGCTACTTCATCCCAGGTTGTTGCCAAAATGTTGCTAGGCTGTTGCTATGTTATCCCAATTAGATGCTAAGGTGTTGCTATGTTATCTTGCGTGGTTGCTAAGATGTTGCCAGGCTGTTGCTATGGAATCCCACGTAGTTGTTGCTAGATTGTCTACAATGGTATCCCAGGTGGTTACTAAGGTGTTACTAGGCCATTGATGTGTTATCCCAGGGGGTTGCTAAGGTGTTGCTAGGCCATTGCTACAGTATCCCAGGTTGCTGCAAGCATATGCGTATATATGTGTGTTAGTATGTATATATGTCTTTTTGTAATGGGAAGTGTGAATGGTCTCTTTTGTGCCATAATTTGTTGCAATTTTCTCAACGTTACACTTATTACATTTATTTTTCTATGGGGAAAATGTGTAAGAAGGAGTGCTTTGCAATTGGTCTCAAAAGCCCAAGCACACTGTTCCCATATAAGCTCTACAATCCTGCAAAGTTTCATGCTTCTAGCTCAAAAGCTGTAGACTGTGAAAGTGGTACAGAAATAAATCATATACTGAGAAAAACAAAGAATATTGTTGGCAAACTTAATTAAGCCCTAAAGAAAGCTGCTAGTACCATTTTAACTAGCTGCAACATACTTTTTATATATAACTACATCATATGGCTAGTCTATTTAACAACATAATGTGGTTTGAGGCAAGGGTGTGGTGATTAAGGCATGCAGTTAGCACCATACTAATCTGTTGGGTGTCATTTCATAACTTGTTAGCTACATTAGCTTCATAGCTCCAACATAAAATGAAAGAAATAAACTTCAGACGCCAGTCATGTCTTGGCTGAGCGATTAAATTTATGATGAAGGGGAGATTGCGTGAATTTGATATTTCACCAACCTGTTCCTTTAATGCCACTTTAAATTCTAGAGGTGAAGGAAGCCTTTAAATGGTTGCAAAGCCATTAGTGTGATGGTAGATTTGTTAAGGTGTCATGAAAAGCTTTAATGACCAAATGAATGAATGATTCTGTAAATGAAGTTTTTCATCTACTGATGATTCTTTTGCGTTCTGTCTGGCATTCCTCAAAGACTTTCAAAGGCAACACTGCACATTCTAGACTGATAATCACAGTAAATGTATTACAGGCTAAAGGCCAGTAATGTGTCCCCAGTTCAAGAGAAGTAAAGAGTTAAATAAAAAAAAAGTTATCATTAGAAGTTTGAATCATGACTTGATCAATAATCAATAGGATTGTGTTTTCAGAACCAATATGTTTAAGGGAAATCCAAACCTGACTGGAATGGGAATGTACTCCACTCTGTGAATCTGCCTTGGGGGGACAGGGGGACCACCAATCACTCTGTAAGCACTACACATGCAGAGATGGAAGCCAGTGGAATTCAGAGCAGAGATAAATGGAAAATGAAAAGCAATGTAATGAAGTTTGTGGGGTTAAAAGTAGGGACAGGGCAGGACAGTTTCCCAAAGTGATATTACCGATTAAGAAAGAAAAAAATATAAATGTAATAAATAATATAAATAAAAATAAAAAATTTAGGCATTTTATTATTTCTATGTTATATGTATATAGTACTTTATTTTTCTAAAACAATAAAATAAAATAAAAAATCTAGCACATTTTATACTTTATGTTCTATTTTTTCCAAAATTTCAAACGATAGAAAAATACAAACCAGATAAAAGAGAGAAAAGGTAAAGTATCACCAGCACTATTGTTTAGTGCTCAGATTACAACTGTGTAAACATGTGTTGTACTGGCGCTTCATATGGAGACTGCAGCAGTAAATCTATTTACTCTTACTTTTTCAAAGGAATCATAAATGATTGTTGTAATAATTAATATACACATTGGTATGGTTGTTGTTGGGTTTTATATTCTGGTATGACATTAAAGTGAAATGATGAAAAAGGGTCATTAGGTCAGACCTGTTGGGGATGTGCTCCAGTCTGGGTTTGGGTCGGACAGGGACGGAGGGGCTCCGTGTGGCTCCAGTGGTCCTGACGTCAGCCCGAGAGGCAGACTGGGTGATGGTGCGGATACTGTTGCCGCGGCGAACCGGTGACTGGAAGTTGGTAACGGTGCCATTGCGGCGTGGAGGAGAAGTGGAGCGAGCCGGGGACTCCATGCTGGTGATGTCACTCTCCTGTTCGGGCTTTTTGTCACCACCTTCAGGTGGCTGGAGACGAGCTGCATGGAAAACATGTTTACATACAGCAAAGTGTGGTGATGGACCATAAAAGCATCTCTTAATCAAATGGGGTACCTTTATACAGAGTATAAAAACACATAGCGTACAGTTAATGTTAAAGCTTTTAATAATTTCTTAAGTAGCATGCTCAACATGTCATGTTTGATAGTTCCACTCTGACAGTTTGAAAAGAGGATTTCAAACTTTGACCTTTGGTGACTTTTTATTATTAGCAAAAAAAAGCAGTTCTGTTGAGTTTTACCTGCAGCCAACTGAAACACTTTCTTCTTGTCTTCTGTGCGTTCCTATGGCAAAGAATATAATAGAGTTTGAACACCTGCGGTCAAATTATATGTTTTAGAGTGGACAGTGAGAGAGCACAGTGTTTAAAAATCTCAGCACTGCTGTGTCTGATCCACTCATACCAGCACAACACACACTAACACCACCACCACCACATCAGTGTCACTGCAGTGCTGAGAATGAACCACCACCCAAAAATACCTGCTCTGTAGGGGGCCTGTGTGTCTTGACTATTGAAGAACAGAGTAACAAATCATGCAGAGAAACAGATGGACTACAGTCTGTAACTGTAGAACTACAAAGTGCTCCTGTATGGTCAGTGGAGCTGATAAAATGGACAATGAATGCAGGTGGTGTACTTTCATGGTGCTGATGTATAGATAGATAGATAGATAGATTCACTACCTGCCATTATCATGGACAAGATTGTGGCTTCATTGTTTATTGCTTTATTACTCACGTTCTGAAGCTGAATTCTCAGCTGGTTGTTGGTGAATTTGAGTGATCTGGCGATGGCCTGCAGGTAGTAGATCAACATACTGAAAACGACAGTGAAGAACTGCACTGAAAACAACGGCCTTGGGGTAGTGAGGGGACGGTGAAGGATAAGCAAAGCAAAAGCATTCATCTTCTATTGACCCATATATTTATTTTCCCAAGGTAATTTTGCCAAACCTAGCGTGACTGACAGGGCCACTTACAACAGCAGCAGGAGGGCAGGCAGGACCACCACCGGACTGGTGACGTAACTCATGGCCTTACTGAACCACAGCGGGAAGTCATTGTCTATGGTTTCTGATATGATGTCATAAATCTTCTCTTGACCACTGTAGAGGAAGAGGAGGAAGAAGAGGAAAATATATGATTTGTTTTAATTAATAACAGTATTTTCTAATAGAATTAGTATTAAACTAGTGCTTTGAACCCTTAGAGGTTACAGTTATCATGGCTGATATCAAAAACATGCATGTTATATGAGTTATCTTTCACTCATAGACCTAAGAGCTTATACATATTAATTCAACACAGTGAATTTACAGTTGGTGCAGTGAAATAAACTGCTCTGAAATCTTTTCTCCTGATATGGTGGTTTTAAATGGAGCCGTTGACAGAGATTAAGTGTCGAGGCTTAATGAAAGTGGTTTAAAATGACTCTCTTTGTGCACACGCATAGTTCCCTTTAGATGGAGCTTTACAAGACTGGCTCATTTACCTAAAAGGTCCGCAGTGCTGGGACGGCCTGTACCTCACTATCGCAAAGATGGTCGGCAGCATGCAGAGAAAGAGCATGAAGAGGAGCATAGCCAGGTAGAAATTGTTGGATCTGGAAAAAGAGACAGAGGAAATGATCGATGTACGCTGTGTGATGTTCTGCATCTAATCTGAGAGTTACAGGCACAAAGTAGGACTTAAGAAACATTTTACCACTGTTACCACTCTGCTGAACTGAGAAATGTAGTTATTAGACATCACTACTTAACAGAATCACATTTCATGATAGAATTCTTGCACATTTTCACCTGTTGGTCATTTCACACCTGATGTGTGATATGTATCGGTATTCTAGCTGACTACCACAGCATACTTAAATTAAAATTAACCCTTGTGTGGTGTTGAGGTCTGTAGGGCCCATTTTCAATGTTCAGCAAAAGAAAAAAATGATGCGATTTATTATTATTTCAACCTCAGATTCCTTGGCCTTTGCTCATTTTCTTTGAAGAACATATAAAATAACACATTTTCTTCACACTTCACATGAACACCCCTCTACACATTTATATTACACATGTGGTGTTGGGGTGAACCTGTGGGGAGTAAAAGAGTGGAGGTGCTGTGTCCTTCAATCTGTCTTCCTCCTACATGGCCTGCTGTTAGTATATGTGTGTCTGTGTGTGTATGTTTTTGTATAAGTGTGTGTGTGTGTGTGTGTGAAAGTGGACAACATGGACAGGCTGCTGACTGGCTACAGCTGCTAAAGGAGAACCCTACGCTGGCCATTTGTGATATTTTAAACATCTGGTATTTTTACATAAATTGTTATGGCTGTATTGATATTTAAAAAAAAAAAACAATAATGTGGTGGGTCCACCAGACCAGTGAGTGACAAACACATCAGCACCACACAAGGGTTAATGCTAATCTCTGTTAGCACTTCTATAAGAGGGTGTTAGTGCTAAACTCATTCTGGTGCACATTCATACTTTATATTGTTATATTCTGATGCAAATCTGCTGCTGTGATATCCTTGTTAAAACAAAAAAACAGGCCACGGCTGATTTCACATACTGGAGTGGAGTGACTTCTAAAGTGGAAGCCCTCAGTTCACCGTAATTATCAGCTGATGAGTTGCTATCAGCTCACTGCACTGGAGTTTCACGGTTTCATGTGAAGGAAACGGCAGAGAAGATGAAGAGTGGGTGAATAAATGAAGTGTGGATGAATACACGGCAGTCTCTCCTCACATCTGCTAGTGACTGATAAGACTGAGAGAGAGTAGGACAAGACAGCCGTTAAATAAATCACAGAGAGAGAGAGAGAGAGAGAGAGAGAGAGAGAGGAGAGGATGAAATAGGATGACAGAGTACGCAAGACAAGGAAACAAGAGAGAGGAGGAAGGAGAACGAGAGAGCAACAAAGTGTAAAAAACAGCCCCCACACCCCAAACTACCTCTCTCTCTCCCTCCTCTCCCCCTCTCTCTTTCTTCTTTCTAACTCTCCCTGTATTCTCTATTTTCTTGTTTCTTTCTCTTTCCTTCTCTTCCCTTAGTTTTCTTGACTATCTTTCTCTCTCTATTCTCTCTATTCTCTCAGTTCTAGCTATCTCTGTTCCTCACCCGTGTATTTTTTCTTCTTCGTTCTTTCTCTCTCACACACTATTCATATAACTCTTTTTCTCTTTTCTTTGTCTGTTTCTCTTTTCTCTCTCTCTAGCTCCCCCTCTTTTTCTCTCAGTCCTATCTTTTACCCCTTTCTACCTTTATCCTCTCTCTCTCTCCCTCTCTCTTTCTCTCTTTCTCTCAACCCTATATCCTTCATTTTTCTTCCTTTCCTCTATCTTCTCTCTCTATCTCCCTCCATTGCTCTTCTTTTTCCCCTCTCCTTTCTCTCACTCTCTTCTTTCTTTTCCCTCTTGTTTTCTTTCTGTCTTTTATCTCTTGTCTTTTGCTCCTATCTCTTCTTCTCTCTCTTTTCTGTTTTTCTCTCCTCTCTCTCCCCTTTTCTCTCTCTCTCTCTCTCTCTCTCTCTCTCTCTCTCTCACTCTCTCTCTCTCTCACTCTCTCTCTCTTCTTTCTCTTCTCTCTCTCCCTCATCTCTTTTATCTCTCTCTTTTCTCTCTTCTCTTTCTGTCCTCTCTTCTTCTCTCTCTTTTTCTCTCCTTCCTCTCTTCTCTTTTCTCTCTCTCGCTTTCTCTCTCTCCCTCACTCTCTCAACCCTATATCTTTCTCTTTTTCTCCCCTTCCTGTCTTTTCTCTTCTCTCTCTCTCTTGCTTTTCTATTTTCTCTCTCACCTCTCCCTTGCTTTCTTTTTCTCTTCTCTTTTCTCTCTTTTTTCTCTCCTCTCTCTCTCTCAAACCTATATCTTTCTCTATCTTTTCTTCCCTTCCTCTATCTTTTCTCTTTTCTGTCTCCCTATCTTGCTCTTCTCTCCCTCTCTCTCTGATAGTTGAGTGTAATGTAGCAGTGAGCTGTATTAGATTGTTCTCTCTCTGCTCTCTATATTAGGTGCAGGCTGATAAAGTCGTGTCCTATGGTAAATTAATTTCAGATAGTCTGAGATCTGAAGTGAAATAAAGGCTGACTGATCACACAGTGACTGAAGCTTTACTGCTGCACATTTACACGCTCAGTAAAAAGACCATTTCAACAGAACACAGTCACATCCAACCTCAGTCTTCATCAAAATGTAAAGCCACACTATGCTTCCTTGGTCTTCTATCTCCAGGAAGTCTAATGCCATACCATAGAATACATCTGTAACCAATAAGCCTAGCAACTTATTCGCAAACCTGAGGGTCAACTCAATCAGACTATGACATTTTATATTCCTTCTGACAGGTCTTAAAGAAAAAAAATCTAAATGTAAATGTAAAGTAAACTTGCTTATGTGGTTTCTGACATTGTATGATACTGCCATAGAAATATGTACCTAGATGCCGCGTTGTCTGTTGTTCTCTGTCTGAGGTGATGGAGCGGTCAAGATCCACTTGTGAACAAATTCACTTGTATTGAGAGATGATGAGTCTCAGGATTAAACCGCCCACAACTTCCTTACTATTCAACCGATTTTCACCAAATTTGTTTTGTTACAATTCTCAGACAGAGACTAATCTAGGTTTCATGGACTGCTTATTTCATTAATAACTGATTGTGCTAATTAGCTGTCCAGACCAGCAGAAGAGTATTCAGTCTGCACCTGATGTTAAAAAAAAACAAACTTAGAGCTCTGGTAGAAACACAATCTCACACACATCAGCAAATTCATCAATGTGTGAATCACTTCTCATCTTAAAAATAAAGTTGGCTTTGTATTCGCCAGCTTTTTGTTCAAACTTTCCTGTTCCACCTTAAATGGTGCAGCTTCAGGCACCAGAAAATAACTGCTGCATTTAAGGTGGAAAGGGAAAATATGAACAAGAAGCTGGCTGATGCACCATTTAAAATGGAACGGGAAAATTGGAACAAGATGCTGGCTGATGCACTATTTAAGGTGGAATGGGAAAATGCGAACAAGAAGCTGGCAAATAAGAAGCTAACTTCATGTTCATGTAAGAAAGTGCTAAAGTTAATCTATTATGAATATCTACATGGATTAAGGAATGCTATAATTGCCTAGCTACAGAGCTTTACAGAGCTCATTGTAATAAATAATTACTACATCAAGTTTAGATCCCCTCAATAGACTATTAAATGAAACAAGCTTAATATAAAACCTTAGTAAAAACAATCGCATCAACAGTTTCTCTGTGCATCACCAACCACACAGTCATATCTACACATAAACATCACACAAACAATATGCATCACACAAACATGATCTATGGATGCTGTTATCCAGTGGCACATTAGAGCCAGTCTTTCGGTTTGGGTATTAAATATTAAATCTCTAATATAAATATAAAAATAATAAAACAAATAATCAAACACAAAAGCAAAAAAAAAAATAAAATAACAATGCTTGAACATTCCAATTTCTGCTAGCACCCTTATGAGATGTCTAGTACTACATTGTAGCACATGAACATTGTTTAAGTTGTCACAGTTTTCCTATTGTCCCCCTGAGTGCGCCTGTTTCTTTCCCTGTGTTGTGGCCATGTGCTTTGTTTTTGATTTGTTTCCTTTGCTCCGCCCTTTTCCCCGCCTTCCCTATTAGGATTCTTACCTGTTTGTAGTCCCTGTCTCCTCCCTCTCCCAGGTGTTCCCTATTGTTTGCAGCCTATATCAAGCTCTTAGTTTCAGCTTATGGTGGTCTAGTCTACACTTCTTTACATGTAGTAGTTTTGTGTCTGCTCTGCGTTTTGTTTGCTTAATGTGTTTCTTTATTTAAAACCTTGTAGTCATTTTGTACTCAGTGTTGCTACTAGTTTTGTTTATTAAAGTTTTCTCAAGCATCCACTCTGCAAAAAATAGTATCTTGTCAATTAAAATCTTAAATCTAGTAGATATATCCAGTATTTTTCCTGCTGAGATTGTTGTAAGCTTATTTTAAGATTATTTACCTTATTTCCAAACTTTTTTTGTACCTGTTTTAAGTAATTCCAAAAGGTAAAATTATCTCACTAAATTGGCAGGTAATTTTACTTGTTTTAAGAAATGTGCTTGAAACAAGCTCAATTATCTGCCACTGTAGTGAGATAATTTTACTCAATAAAATTACATAAAACAGGTAAAAATGTCTAGAAATAAGCTAAATAATCTTATAATAATTGCACAACCATCTCAAACTAAGGAATATTAAATATATCTACCAGAACTAAGATAATTTCACTTGACAAGATACTATCTTTTGCAGTGCAGTCTCCTTACTCACCATACATTACATAGGTGTTCTACATTTGAATCTTATAGAAGACATGACAATTGTTTTATCTGATGCTTGTAAAAGATGTTAACTTGTATGTATCAGTCTTTTAGTAAAGAGTCCTGCTGCTGCTGTTTTCCATTCCTAACAACTAACCAAAACATGCTGAGACTCAAATTCAGTTAGTAATGTATCTTGAACTTCCAGGAGACCTAGAATGTTTTCACACAAAACTGGTCCCACTCATTAGAAACCAAAACATTATTGGCTCCTAATAATGTTGGTAGTTAATCTAATGTGTAAGGCCTTCAGTCCAGCTCCTAAAGTCTTAACCAATGGGGGAGCTCGCTTGGCTGTATCTACATAGTTACGATAGAGAAAACAAAAACCTGGTTGGATCATTGTCCTTTGGCTTCGAGAATTTTACCCACTAAAACTTGAAATAAGAGTATTACTTACTACTCAATACTTCAATACAACATGCATGATACTATCAAACTGAAACCAACTCAGCTCCCAGAAACTATTAAGCATTCATTAAAGGCTGCTGTTATGTACAGAAAATGGACAGAAATACCATTATTTACTAACTCAACATGGTTTGAGGCAAGTATATAATGATTTAGACATGTAGTTAGCACCATGCTAATTGGTACAGAAGTCAGGAAAGGCCATGAGCTGTTGCTAAAATTTTCTGAAATGTTATCTTGAGATAACAAGTTACATATCTTGTGATATCAAGATAACAACTTTGTTATCTTGAGATAACAAGATAATTAACTTGTTATTTCAAGATAACAAGATAACTCATTATTTTCCATAAATTGGTGGGGTATATGCTTCTATTATTTGTCAGCTCTATTAGTCTCATGTCTCCAGTATAAAACTAAAGAAACAAGTTTCAGACACCAAATTGACCACATTTAGGGTGAGGTGGGGGGAATTGTGCACATTTTATTTTTTCTCTTTAACCCGGCCCACTTTAACCCCTTAGCATTCCAGGTTTATTTCATACTAAGGCTTATTACTCTGTAACTACAAGTACTTCAATGCAAACTAAAGGAGCTATTCTTAGGTTACAGGAGTGTGTAATAAAACATAGTGCACACCAGCAGTCCTATGGCTTGTTAAGGGGTTAGGTGGATCCCTAAAACTGTCTTAAGATCAGCAGGAACTGACCTAGAGGCACGGAAGACCTGCTGATGTGGCACATTACAGGTGAGCACGGCCCAGCTCCTCAGATACATGAGCCCAATCAGCTTCAGGACATTGAAGGCAGGCAGGCAGGGTGAGAAAAATGCCCCCATCCTTCAGGAAAAGGAAGAGGACATAAAGAAAAGATTTACACTGTTACCAAGCCCAGCCAAAGACAAATCATAATTAAGAGATTATAAAGAGGGCCAGTGGAGTGAACTGTGTAGCCTTGTGAGGAGTGTGGGTCAAATGAACTGGAGCGAATCAGAGGATAGTGAGCAGGGAAATATAGAGAGGAAAGATAGAACTGTGAATTATGTTGCTAAAGACTGTCAAGAAAGTCAGTAGGTGTCTAATATGTTCATATAGATTTAGTTTTAGATGTAAATGAAATAGGAGTCATTACAATAGGAAACATTTCATAGCTTTAGTGGTAGCTGTAACAAATGCTAGGTTTAATGACAAATCAATTTCCCACCTTAGTTCAAATGTAGCTGATCAAGATGTAGAAGTCATGTTTGGTGTCTGAAGTTTACTTCTTTAGTTTTGCGCTGGAGCTAATGCAGCAATGCTAATGAAGCACTGTAAAAACTGCATGTCTAAACCATCATACACTCGCCTCAAACCATGTAAAGTTGTTCATGAATCTCTGATAAACTTGTTTATGTAGTTTATGTAGTATGTAGTTAACACTGTATGACACACTGTTACCTATAAACAGTGATAAAAGTGTAAATAAAATTAGTTCTAATCACTCATATAATCGTTTACACTTGTTAGTCACATTAGCCTCGTAGCTCCAGGGCAAAACTAGAGAAGCAAACTTCAGACATCAAACATGTTTTGGCTGACAGAGTACATGTGGGGAAATTGTGTGTATTTGATTTTTTGTCAAAGTGCTATTTTCCTTTCAAATTCAAGACTACAGTTACGTACCATATCATTCCCTGGTTGTAAATTAGATGGAGGACATTTTCAGCTATCTTGAATTCACCATATTCAGGCTGTAAGAGAAGTGAAGACAGAACTCAGTCGCTATGTATATTATAATCACTCCACAATTATTACTGTCAGACTTTAAAAACTCCACACACTGTAGATTCATACTGGATTAAAATCACTCCAAGTAAAACTAATCCAGCTCCCACTGCCACCCATACATTTTTATATGATGCAGTTGTGCCAGTAAAAAAGTCCCAGAAAAAAAGTTCTAAATAGAGTCACACTTACAAACTTGCTTTCCAGATCCCAGCAGCAGCAGTCACTCAGGTATCGGACCACCAGGCCCCGAATGAAATCGATCAGTAAAATACTTGCCACAGTGAAGATCATGTCAATGATTGAAAGCTTTAGCATTTCCTGTGAATGAAATAAGCAGTAAACAAATTTAGCTACTCAAGATAGCTTGGCTCTGTCCCCCTTCGCTTTGTAACACAACTCCTCCAGAAGAGCCTTCCAAGAGCTCCTGAAGGAAGACTATTAAATCAGCTGTATGGATTTCATCCAAGAGAATTGATACGTGCTGTCTTAGCCTACTGATAGTTTCATTAAGTAACTGTCTGGCTGTATGTTTCAATCCGTGTATTCAATCCAAATCCGCTTCATTGCCATCGGGGAAAAACAATTACTGCAGGACAATACATTTTCATCTTTTTTTCTTGTCAGCGTTAATGCCTTATTTACGATAGCTGTTGAGCGAAAGCGAGGACATTGGTTAGCTCAGACTTGATCTAGTGCAGGAGCCGCTAAGTGCTTGTTAGCTTGAGTGCTGGCATAAATGCTTGGTTAATGGAGTATAATGGTGTAGACATGTGGGTAAAACAATGTGAATCTTTTATAGTGAATTGGGCACCTTCTGTGTACCCCTATTGTACAGACTGTATCTCTCTTATCCGATACAGATCATCTCATAATGTCCAAACGTTTGCATTGTTTTTCATATTTTTTTAAGGCTGCTTGGCAAATATGTATTGTACTTGGCTTTCTTTGTTTTTCTAAGGTGTCTTTTTGACACAATGACCTTATAGTACACCTTCATTTAACATAAAATCAAATAAGTAATATTGTCTTGGTTGGTTGTCTTTAGTCATTGTAGTTGGACAGGCATTAAGCATGAGTCCTAGTGATTTGAACGTGATCCCAAAACTTCACTCTCATAACTACAGAATGTACACATTTGTTTCATAGCAGTTACTGAATCATTTAATATGGTTATTGAAAAATTTGCACTACTTGTTCAACAATATACAGTAGTTGCTGAATAATTCATAGTAGATACTGAAAAAGTCTTAGTATTTACAGAACCACTTATAGTAATTACTAAATAATTCACAGTAGTTAATCAATATCTCTTAGTAGTTACTGAATAATTCAATGTGAATATTGAATAATTCAGTAGTACTTTAATAATTAGATATTAGTAGATAATAATAGATAAGATTAAATAGATAATAGTAGATATTACATATTTGTAGTGCTTACCTATTAATTAATAGTAGTAATTTGATATATATATTTGATTATAGTGATACCTAAGTAATTCATAATAGGTACTGAATAATACTAGAAACTGATTAATTCATAGTAAATACTGAATGATTCATAGTGAATACAAAATAATTTATAGCGAATACTGAATAATTCATAGTGAATACTGAATAATTCATAGAAGACACTGACTAATTCATAGTAGATACTGAATGATTCATAGTGGATACTGAATGTCTCACAGTAGACACTGAATGAATCGTAGCAGATACTGAATACTTCATAGTAGATACTGAACACTTCATAGTGGATTCTGAATGATTCACAGTACACACTGCATTATTCATAGTAGATACTGAACTATTCATATTAGATACTGAATAATCCATAGTAGATAGTAAATAATCCATAGTAGACACTGAATGATTCATAGTGAATACTGAATAATTCATAGGGAATACTGAATGATTCATAGTAGACACTGAATAATCCATAGCAGATACTAAATGAATTATAGTAGACACTGAGTGATTCATAGTAGATACTGCATTATTTAGAGTAGATTCTGAATGATTCATATAAGACACTAAGAGTGTAAATCTTAGGAATTTAATTTGATTGCAGTTCTCTAGGAAGTGATTCATAATTTTTAATCAATTTAATTTATTTTGGAATTAAAAATTAGGCTATTCAGAAATATTTTAAAAATGTATTAATACACACATTTCTTTGTACATACGCGACTATTTACACAGTATTGGAAAATGTAGACCACACACACACACACACACACACACACGCACACCCACACGCACACACACTTACACATCATCTTATCCTTCTGGGTAAATGTAGACCATATTTTTAAAAAATATTCTTTATATAAAAACCCATTTACATTTGAAAACTTTATGAGAATTTCAATTTCATTTTTAATTTTTGGACATAATAGTTTAGATGAAATGAATTTCATGTTTGGCTCTACATGAGTGAATGACTGTTTGTATGAGACACACCTGGCCAACGTACGTCTCCCAGCATTGATCCTGCTGGGTTTTGGTGTTGTACTCATATGAGGTGGACTGGTTCACTGGGGTCAGTGCTGGCGCTGGCAGTCCAGATAATAAACCTCTCTTGATGGTGATTATGGTTCGGTTGAGGTCTGCGATGGTGGTAGTGAGGGTAGCGTTCCTCCCCTCTGTAATCTCAGGTACAACAGTGGACAGGTTGATCTCAGCAGGCTGGGAGATGGTGGCCAGATAAGATGTGGAGTCGGACCAGTTTCCTGGAGTCTGAGGAGGACAGGATGTAAATGTAATGTAGTAGCTGAGCATCTTATCCAATCTGGATATTCAGCTTATCAAAATATTTGGGACACCTAGCTTTTCAGCATGAGCATGTGTTCTTTGTCGTTTTGCTGTAGCTTACCATTTTAAAGGAAACGTTGAAAAATCTAGTGTTCACAATTTTCCTTTTACTCCAGACGGTGTCCACATTTTTCCTCTTTAGATGCTAATGTGGCTAACAAACACTCAAGGTCAATAGTCTCCCAAATTATCTCTGTAAATACATTACCAAAAGTGTCAGGATTGGTACAAAATCCTGTTGCACCAGTGCAGTGCTACCAGCGCGATTCACCTGGGAAGTAAATTCTTCGTTGTTGTGATGTAATGCTGGTTTTTTCTATAACATATCTTGAGAAGAATTCAAAAAGGTGAATCACTTACACCAGAGCTCATGCTGTTCACTTTATCCAACAGGGCAATGATCAGACTGTAGAGGTTTCCAAGGTACAACACCAGCACCCTGATGAATTCAAATAAAAAATAAATAACTAAGAGATCAGATTGGGTTAAACTGGAGCTTAGTGTTTTAGATATGTAGCATCAAACCTGGCCAGCTGGAAGCGGAGGCTGGTCCTGGGGTGGTACATCTCCAGCTGAGCCACTAGCTCAAAGGCAGACGGAGCAATCATAGTAATGAGGGAGACCACCACACTCACCTAATACAATATAAACATAAAGAGAACAACACAAAAAAACATGACCCTTTTCATTAAGGTAATAATTCATTACTTAGAAACAAATGCAGTGTAGCATCTTCTGTAATGTCCTTTCTACAACTTTCTCTGTGTCTATTCCTACAGCAGACAGGAATCAGTGCAGGTGATTTCAGTTAATATTATCAAATGAAATGCTTCCCCCCATAACTCTGTTAGCAGATGAACTAAGACTCTCTCTGTGTGTGAAATGTTGTGACTTTGTTGAGCTGCTAGCGAGCAATAAGAGGTGAAAGGTGAGGGGTGAGACCCCTGAGATAAAACAGACAAATGCAGCTTTCTTCATATCAAACAGTCCTGCACAACTGACACAATATTGAAGAAAGAATTGTGTATTTTTTTTTACATGTTTTTGTATTTCGACCGTTTTTACAGATACTGTGAAAAAGAATAGGTTTAAGAGACACCGGAGTTGATTTTGAATGAATGTATATTTAACCCTCAGACTTTACAGTAACTAAAGCTACAATTTTTCATTATATGTGTTTAATTTGTTGAATCATTAAACAATTATTTGTAGTATCTCCAGCAGAGAAATTTTGTTATAAATGTTTTTAACTTAATATTTCATTCTGATTCGAATTTGATGAAAAGTTGTTGTTGTGTGTACAGTCTTGATTTTGGGAAAAAAAAAAAAAACTGTAGACTGAATAAAGATGTAATTAATTACGTGACCAGTGGCGTCTCTACATTAGGGGCCGGTGAGGCCTAGAAGTTGCACGACATGATCAATAATTCAGTATAACAACTAATATACATATATTTTTCTTTGTAACTAACACTGTTGTGCATTTATTACATAAGACAATGGTAGGGCTGTCCGATACATTCCAAATATCTTCCTGTACCAGTTGTGTAAATGCCAGTAGCTGACTTACTCCTCCTAGCAGTTTTCGTTTGATGAGTGTGGGGCCGGCCTGTCAGCACTCATCTAACCGAGTGAGCAGTTAAAAAACACTCTGCACATGTTCAACACGCTTTCAATAACCAGCTGTGGGGCCTGGCACCATGCTCAGAGCGGCCAATAAAAAATAATGCATTTACATATATACAGAAGTTTAGTAACATCATTTATGGTATGGGCATTGCTGCGCAGCTAGCCACTGTTCCTCATCAGTTGTGGTAGCCACTCATAATAGCAAGGCAATATAATGAGTCAAAAATGTAATAAAAGTTAAATATGGTACCCTGCCATTAGAGCAGAAATGAATCTCAAACGTTTGGGACACACCAGCCAGAGGATTTCAACATGATTCAGTCTAGAAAGGACAGTCCAGAGAGGTTCAAAAGAAAAACATGGCTAACTGTAAGTGTAGCTACAAAATACTCTTCTGCTTTCCTTGCCTGCTCCTGATATGCTATCACTTGAATTCCTTCATGGATTGGTGGAAGTTTTTGACAAGTTTGCCCTGGTGAAAGATAGTTACACATCTTTTCTTTTCGAGCAATAAACGTCACTTCCACTAACTCCTGCGCCACGTTACATTAATTTGGGAATTTGTGATTTCATTGATGCAGTGCATTTGTGTTTGGATCAGCTTTGTGTGTAGTTTGATTAACGATAGATGTTCTAGATGTTTTTTATGATAAATTAATTTTTATAATTCTGTAGCGTCATACAATTACAAGAACAAAGGATAAACCCCACCCCCAACATCTGGTAGGTGATACAAGAGTGTAAAATCAAGGACCACCAGATTACAGCACAGTTTCTGCCCCCAAGCCATCAGGGCTTTGAACTCATCTCACCCAATGGCCCTCCCTCCAACCACCACAACACCTCATACTCCATGGACACTGACGCATCTGACCAGTGATGTGGTCCCAGAACCCCCCACCCCCGCACTCATTACCTCCCTTCCATGAGATGGCTGCTAGAACATTACAGACAAAACACTGCACAACTGCACAGATATTTCAACGTATTACTTTCTGTATGACAGGACCATGTATTTTATTATGAGCTGCATTTGTACAATAACTATATGATGCATATAAACAGACATATGTATACTTTTTAAGGATATATAGAGTTCAGTAGCTTGTAGTCTGGGAGGTCAGACCTCGTTCTTCTCCCACAGCGTTAGCTCTGCTTTCTGCTGCTCCAGCTTCTGGGATCGGTCCACTACAAAGTAGATGATGTAGATGCTGCCTGCCAGAGACAGCAGGACCAGGATGTTGGCCAGGATCCGCAGGCTGATCAGAACCGCCCTGCGTGGAAAACAAGCCAAGGAGATCAGACTCATTCATACACAAATATTACACATCAGCAGTGCCGCCATCTGTTAAATCATTCATATCATGTATGTAATCTGAATATGATCATTTTATTTCATTAGGCTCTTCTTGACGAGATACAGCCCTCATTAATATACAGAGAAACTTGGTCCCAATATAACCTAACTGCATAAACAATTGATACCAAGTGAGCACAAAGTGGTTTCTCTACAGGAGGGGAGCCTAAACGTTCTCTGTTGAGGGTACAGTTTAGTCCAGCAAAAATAACGTTTAATTTGCTTTGCCAAAAATATTTTTGTACGTTTAATATGTGCAGAAATAGAGTTTATTGTTAAACAGGTGAAGCTAACAGCAGCACTGCACAGCATGAGAACAGTGTGAAAGTTTATCTAGACTGTTAAAAGGCACTATTTGATGAATAAATGCGGCAAAGCAGAATTTACTTGGACAGCTGATTACTTCATTATAGCATATTATTTTATGTTTTTAATGTTTTCATCCATGATCTAACGGCTATTACTGTCCCTATGCAGTAACCGGCACTGTCTAACGGCGTTGTATGCTCTATTTACAGAAGTGTTTTCAACAAATCATGCATGGATTTCCAAAATATGCTTTAGCACAAAAATCAGGATGTTAGATGATGTATAATCTCACAAACCATCATTAGGATAATTTTAACGTCATTGTGATATTAGTTCTCATCTTCTAATACTCTTAAAAATAAAGGAGGCAAATAAAGGGGATTAACAGCATAAAAGTATTTTACAGCATAAAAAAGTAAGTACTGTAAAATTAAATGGCCAATATGCATTTAAAAAAATGGTCAAATGCATATAAATAAATACTGTATTTTAACACGACTGTTGTTAATTTAGAGAAATAGAATGTTAATTTACAAAAACAAATGATCATCTTTATTTCACAGATATTTGTGTTTATTTAATGGCTGTTATTATTGTTATTATGGTGGTAAAATACTGTGTCAGAATAACTAGTTGAACTAGTGAAAGAGTTTAATTACAGTAAAAGTCAGAATTTTTCAGAATTTAAAAGACTGAAAACACTTTTACCATTAATTTACAGGTTTTGTGTGTGACTTTTTACTATTCTTTACAGATTTTTATTTATTTTTAACAGTGTCAGTATGATGACTTCAACAGAATTTCTCTGCCTTGCTTGTGTTTTGCTGACTGTGATTGTTCCACCTGTGTCCCAGCTTTCTCAGAGGTGTTAGGGTGACCAAATTGAAGCCATTGTTTGCCTTCCAGGAGTGGAGGTGATTGTATCAGTGAGTGAATGAGTGCGATGGTGTTGTTCCTGGCGTTAGGGCTCAGGCTGAGCGCTCTGATTTACTTGAGCGTGCACATCCACTGCAATCGCAGCACAACAGCAAAACATCCCACCATATTTCACACAAATGGCCTTCTACTGCAGCAATGACTGAATCACCATCAGAGCTGCTTACACATTAAAGTGAATTAATATGTTGTGGATATGCCCACTCAGAAATGCCTGTGGAAGCATAAAGTCGTGCTCATCAAAGAGAAACACTGCACTCACTGCCTTCTCCATTTCTCCATCATTACCTATTTCTTTACACTTTCGGTCCCAAAGGATCCAGACAGCCTTTCTAATGAATGAATTAGAAGTCAACCATTGCTGACCATCTCTGCATAGAAAAGCGCTCAACAGTAGAACGCAGCACTCTGAAGGAGCTACACAAGAGCCTAATGTTACCATGCCCAAAGCCAAGAGTGGGCTAGAGGGGTATAAAGCCCCCAGCAATGGGCTGTGGAGCAGTGGAACTGCATTCTCTGGAGTGATGGAGCTCCATCCAATACCTTTGGGATGAGTTGGAGTGATCCAGAACTGACCATCCAACATCAGTTCCTGACCTCACTAATACTCAATCAGATCCTCACAGCAATGTTCCAACATCTAGTGTACAGCCTTCCCAGAGGAGTTACTGCAGCGAAAGAGGACAAACTCCATATTATAAAGTGGATAGTTCTGGTCCTAAAATCTGATTGGCTCAGCTGCATTTGAAGCTGTTGTCAAATCTGTGATATACACACACCTACAACCACCTCACAACAAGTGAATTGTGTATTACTGCGCCATCACACCGTAATAGAATAATCTTTGACTCTCATGCTGCTCGCATGGACCACCAAGTATACTGATGAAGTATGAACCTGTTTTTGTTTAAACTGAGGGGCAACTTATGTTCTTAACTAAAACTAGGCTGCTCAGCTAGCTAACAGGCTAAAAGATAGCTAACAGCCTGAACATCTCCATCATTAATATTACAGGCTTGAATTAAATTACTTACGGTATGATTTACTGTAAGACGGCAGTATAAAAGTCTAAAAAATGTCACTTGAATGGATTACACACTTCAAATGTCCATGTTTCAGTCAGAGTTCAGTCAGAAATTCTAGCCTCTACAGCCAAATAGTGCATCATTTATCGAGTGTGGATGTGTCTGAGTCCCAAATGACTATTTCTTAGCTGTATTTTGCACTGTTGGGCTGCAGGATCCAGTATTATTATTTCTACATAGTGCATTATGTAGGGAGCAGTGGCAATTTGGTGACCAAAAGTACTTATAAAGTGAATGTTTTTTGCATTAAACAGTGATGTGTTGCCATATGTTCATTGTTATACAATAAAAAGTAGAAAAATTCATGAAATGACCACAACATACAGTGATGGGCTACCGAATGTTCCCCTCATTCAGTGGTCCATGGTCGCTTGGCAATGATACCATACGCTGAAGGAGCTACATTTCTTGGCGGAATACTTTATGTTGATTATTATTAATAACAACATACATTATGTTCAGAAAAATTTTGCATTTTATCATATCTTATGATGAAGTGGCAAAAAGCACCTACAGGCTGGTGTCCTTCTTCTTCTCCTGCTCTTCCACAATGGCCTCCTTCAAAACAAGATACACTGCCATCAGTCTTGTCAGTTTTAGGCAAAGGGGAGAAAATTGATTTATAAATTAACAGGCCAAAAGTTCAGACCTCAACTTCGCTGAATGTGTTTGTGATTATGTGTTTTGATGGGAAATTAACCCTTATATGTTAAATAATCATAAAGTAAATAAAATAAATTAAACATTTCTCTTTTAGTATTGTTAATCTCATACATCATTATTCAGTATTATGAAACAAGCAGCTCTTGTAAAAAGCACTATACAAAGTAGGTTTGCCTTGATTTCCTTTGGTTTTACTACAAATTGTTCTAAACATGCACAAAAAACCCACACATGCAGGACCCCTTTGGCTCAGTGGTCTCATGCTGTGATCAGTAATAGGCCAGGATGGTGAACTCTCCTTGGGGAAATCATCACTGATACTACAGCACATTAAACTCATGCGTTTTATAATGCCATAATGAATTGGATCATTGAGAGATGAACACAGAGAGGCCATGCGTGTGTGCTGTGTGTTAAGAGACACACTCACCCTGATGTTATTAACGATGGCCGCTCCTTTGCTCTCGGCCGCCTCAGGGTTGCCGATCAGGTAGTCCCAGGCACAGAAGATCCTCCAGCAGAAGGTGTAGTTCTCATCAGATGCACTGGCTAAACTCAGCTGCGAGTTTTTTGCCATTCTGGGAAGAACAGAAAAATTGCATGAATTGTTAATCTAACACATATGCTGATAAGTTTCAAATACCAGAATGTTGATTAAAAAGGTTCATATTGTGGAAATACTACATTTCCTTGTTAAAAATTCCATATGAAAACATATCATTTACTCTCCATACCCATTTAGTCCATATATGGAAACTAAGCTGCAAAAATGAGCTGTTTTCAATCTCACATTGTTGTGACATTAGAACCATGAATACATTTACAGAAAGTCATATGCAAAAGTTTGAGTACCCCTGGTCAAATTACATGTTGTGCTGATTTTCTAAGAATTTAATTTTGAAAAAAAAAAATCCCTGTAGAAGATTAGTGTTAACTTTTTCACTCTTTCAATTTTTTCCATACAACTGTATGCTCTGCCCATTCAGTATGCAGCTGCTTAGCCCTGTCCCTTCACAGTGACGTAATACGGAGTGTTGTTACTGCAGACGATCTGTAGCACAGTTGTTGGAGTGGAAGATACCATAAGTCATAACTTGCTACCTGTACAATTTGTTCCATACATAGTACACAGTACACAGGGCAGCCAATCAGAACAGAGATCATTTGCATATATCTGTCTTAAAGGCACAGTAACAAAGCCTAGCCTGTTTAATTACAGGGGATAAATAAAAAGAGATTATAAATTGCCAGTGTAAAAAAGAATTATGACTGTTTTTGGTAAAATCACACAAATTTATAAAAGGAAAAAAAAAATATATATATATAGAAAAAATGTAAGACCATGTAAGAAGTTCAATAGGTATGTAAGGCAGGTTTAAAACAATTCATGCCTATTAGTATTATTTAACTAATCTCGATTAATGATTACTTTCTTAACAGAGTGATGAAACTGTAGGCAAAAACAGCCATTCCAACCAGAAAATAGGCCAGGGGCAGACGATAGCCGGCGCTGCCGATTTTGCGCACGTTACCATAGTAACCGTAGAAAAGCACGGAGTACTGCAGGTAGCCCTGAGAACACATAAAAAAACGAATCAGTGTAAGTACTGTACTTACACAGTTTCATACATTCACAAAATGTAACAAGCTAACAAGCTAAATTAAAAAGGAAAATATAAACTCATCAAAAAATATAAGCTTACAAAGTACTTGTTATCATTAAAAGGCCCATATCAAGAAAAATCCAAGCTTATTTTGGAAATATAAGTGTGTGAAGTAGTATGGAAACAGTATTAAGGTTTCATTTACCCCATTTCTACAGTGTGTATAATAAAACTGAGCTGCAAAAACAGCCTGTTTTAAATGCATTGTTCTTGTGATGTCACATTTATGTATATCCACCTATTCCGCCTACAGCAGTTTAGCCCCACCCATTCATGCTGAAATTATAAGGAGTGTTTCAGCCTGGATTTCTAATTGAATAAGGCAGCCAATCAGAACAGAGTACACTTTCATATATCAGGCTTAAAGGCACAGTAACAAAACCAGCCTGTTTAATTTTAAAGGATAAAGAAAGGTGGGAAAGTGGTCATGAAAAAATGAAAGTTGAGCAATTTTGGTACATTAACACACACAAATGACAAGTGGACAAGTGGACCTCAGAGAACAAAGTAAAAGCCAAGAAAAATGTATGATTTGGGCCCTTTGAAAGTTACTGTTTTCAATAATATAAAACTAATCTGTGTGCAGATTGCAATAAATAGATAATTCCAGCATGTTATTTATATTAAAAAATATGGAAAATATTGAATAAAACATCTAAAAATACCTTTTGTTATCTAGGTCATAGTATTTCAATCTACAGTGAGACAGATATCAATAAATAAAATTGCAGTAACTACAAAAGGAAGGGTTGTGAACGAACTATGAGTTAAGCCAGTTAACAATGCTTTAAAGGTTAAAGTGGTTACAGAACACTGCTGATTGATTAACTTAAGTTAATAACTTAAGTAACGTTAATAACTTAATTGGGTTTATACAGAAATTCATGGTAGTTGTTGTAATGGTGCTATGATATTCCAGCTTGTTGTAGGTGTTGTTTTTGTTGTTAGTTGATTGCTAAAGTGGAGGCCATTGCTACGGTTTCAGAGCTGTTTGCTAAGGTGTTGCTAGGCCGTTTCTATGATATTCTAAATGGTTGCTAAGGTCTTGATAGGACATTGCTATGGTGTCACAGCTGGTTGCTAAAGTGTTGCTAGGCAGTTTCTATGCTATCCCAGGTGGTTCCTAAGGTGTTGCTAGGCCATTGCAATGGTGTCACAACTGGTAGCTAAAGTGTTGCTAAGCTGTTTATATGATAGCCCAGGTGGTTCCTAAGTTGTTGGTAAGGTAAGGTGTCGCTAGGCTATTGCAATCATATCCCAGGTGGTTGATAATGTGTTGCTAGGCCAATGCTGTGGTATCCCAGGTGGTTACTAAGGTGTTGCATTCTTGTATGATGGTGACACAAGAGGAGTGACCAAAAATATTTGGCTACAAGCTGTATACTAACTGTGGTGAAATAAGAGGTAGAGATGTTATACATGCATTATAAATTCTGAATCATTATATAAGCATTAAAAATTATGTCTGAACAAACAATGTACGAATGCTATAAGTCGAATCAGTTAAAAAGCACAAGCAATCTATTCAGGTAGTGACTCTTTGATCCTGCAAAGTTATGTGGTAGTAGCTCGAAAGCTGTAGGAGGAGCAGCGTGCAAATTTTTGATCTTAAAATAATAATAACAAAATGAAGAACAGCAAATTGCCATTTTCAGGCCAACTTAATATGACATGTTCAAACTTTTGAATAGTAATAAAACAGTGAAAGGTGTAATAGTCTTGCCCCGAGTGACCAAATGGTGTCCAGGTCCTGAGCAGAGGAGATCTGGTCTTTAGGGATGGTCTTACTGCGTGTGGTGCCAAATGGAGCGCCGGCCAGCAGCTGGAGGAGTGAGAGAGGATAAAGGAAGGGAGGGTGGGTGAATAGAGGGACAGAGGGAAGATGAGTGATAGAGGAGAACAGCTGATACCTGCGCAGGGAAATTGCTTTGTGTCCCTGTGTCAGGGAGAGAAATAAATCTAGCCTGTTTTTTCTGACAAAACACGACACAGAGCGATGTGGGGTCACATTAACAGCTCTGTACACAAAGCCAAGTTTTGATGGTGGAGTTTAAAGGCAAATATAACATGTTTTAAAACCGCTGTTATGTATTGATGTTGTAAATTTTTCTCCCAAAAGAATAAAAGGACAGAAGCTCATCTACTGTAAGAAACCACAGGCAACACTGCTATAGTACGATAAACTGAGGACTGAAACATGATGTGTTGCAGCAGTTCAGCAAAAGAAGAATATTCAGACCACATAAATTAGCATCATCACATGTAATAAGTTGTTAAAAGGGAATTCCACTGATTTTTAATCTATAGATATATCTAATGTGTTTCTTCCTTATAATGATGGAGCAAATACAAAGTAATTCCTCCAAACAGTCCTACACTGATCAACGTAGGATGCAGTGCAGCAGCCTGCACAATGTTTAGGTTCACTTTTTGTCACTTGTCTGTGGAGCCCTGCTGGTGACATCCTGTATAAATAAAAGTAAGGTGTGGGAATGAGGTAACCAAGTCGTGGCCATAGGAACAAGATCCTAAGGCATGGCCACAACTTAGTAAGGCATGGGAATGACATAAATAAGCCTTGATCATTTAATAAGGCATGATCTCATTCCCACACCTTACTTAGTTGTGGTCACAACTTAATTATCTCATTCCCATGGCTTACTAAGTCATGGCCACACATTAGGATCTCGTTCCCACAAGTTTTTGACACTGAATGGCATAGTGTTACCTATAAAAATGAACTAAAGTACCTTACATGGCTAAAATCAGTAGCAGTGGCTGCAATGAAGGCTGAATTTTGTCCATACTTTTGTTACTTCGCTACTTGTTTTTTTACATTAGCCTCATAGCTACAATGCCAAAACTTAAAAAGTAAACTTCTGAGCGACCTCTTGGCTGATCGACTACTTTTGAGGTATGTTATGAAGTTGATGAGTTACAAACCTCAGGCAGAACGATGAATGCTCCGGTCATTATGGTGAGGACAATATTAATGCCGAAAAGCCATCGCAGGAAAATAAAGTAGGAGGCCACACCGGATCCAAAGTGACCTGCAAAAACAGCAAGCTGCTGTTATTATTTGATTTATTTGTGTGTGAAAGGTCACAGTTTTGAAATAGACTGAATGCAGTTATTTTTTATTATATTATTATGTAGTTTTTATTATATTTTATTTTTTTTTGTTATTACACAACTAGACATTGAACTAGACATTTTTTTAAAAAATCTTAAAAAATGGAATGCATTTCATTACAATTCTCTATGATTTTCATCTCTGTAAGTGATGTAAATGTCTATAAGTGTTTTTTGAGTGCTTTTGTAAATGCTGTTTGTTTGCTGAGTCAATTGTTTTTCACCCCTTCCTTCTCACCCCTCATTGCTCACTAGCAGCTCAACACAGAGTCACAACATTTCAAACTGTCCTAGTTTATCTGATAACAGTTACAGGTAAAAATGTTAGTTTATATTCATTAAAAAAGTGGAATGGCCACTAGGGGGCTGCAGAAAGAGGCTGCTGGCATTAGCTTACATTTCTAGCTTCTGTAGCATGGCTGAAGGTACTCCTAGGGATTTGCCAACGGCATTTTACTCATTTACTGAAATTTTGGCAAAAGAGGTTTTAAAAGGCAATGAGTTTGTGCACTACAGTTTTTTATTAGGCTGAATGGAATTTTTACCAGTATTCCATAAAACCTTCCAAATCTCACAACAGTAGCTATGAAGGAGCACATTTATGAATAGAGTTTGGATACTTTAATTAAAGGTGCCATAGAATGGAAAACTGTATTTACATTGGCATAGTTGAATAGAGTTCAGTACATGGAACTGATATGAACCTGAACCCCAAACACTGTTGCCTCCTTCTTCAAACACAAATCCCACATACACAAAAGAGGGCGATAAAATAGGCCAATTCCAAAATCCGAAACTGTTATGCAACAGTCTTGACTCATTAATATTTACGCCCCCAGAATTTACATACAGCAGCCCATGTTCTAGCCCAGTAGGTGTTGCGAAGAACAAAACAATGCAAAAGAGCAGCAGCAGCAATGATAACGACAGACTCAGAAATGTACTGTTCCAGGCTGTGAAGAGATGTTCATCTTTAAATGAGGCTGAAGTCGGCTTCCTATTCACCAGCTTCTTAATCAAATATTCCGTTCCACCTTAAATACTACAGCTTGTACAGGTGCAAGAACATAACTCTGGCACCATTTAAGGTGGAATAGAAAATCAGCAAAACAAGTTGGCGAACAGGAAGCCAACTTCAGCTCCCACATCTTTAAGAGGATCCCGGACAGCTTTAATTCATAATTGCTAGTTTGCATGTTTCACTCTAGTTTCTCAAATCTTGGACAATATCGAGCAGCATCGCTCAGTGTTTGACCCTGAAGAGACTGAAGCGACGAAAGGGCCAGTTCCACCTTTACTAGCATCACAACCCCAACGTAAGCAGCCATGCTGTGTGACTTTATCCACTTGTTGATGGTTGAAGCAGATCACCATGAACTGAAAGCTTAATTATGAATTAACAACTTTAATTTACTTTGTGTTGTTGTAAAGATTGAAAACAAGTAGCTAGTATAAAAAACGTTAGCTACTAGCAAGGTCCAAGTGACTAGCATAGCTAACTTAGTAGCATGACGACGTAGCGTATTTACACAGAGGTTCATTTTATTCTCCTGCCTGTGTCTATTTCGACATTTTACTTCTGTGTGAGCCATCATGGTGCCTCGCTGTAAACCAGCCAATCAGAGCAAAGCTCATCATATTTTTCATGAGTGCCGAAAAAAAGGGAAAACAGCTTGCGTCATTCGTTTTTCACCCAAACCAAAGTCACATATCCTCTATGTAGACATCAAAGAACAACTTAAAATACTGAATAAGTGCATTCTATGGCTCATTTAAGTTTGCCGTGCTTTCTTTTGGCACAATAAGGCAATACATTAATAAAATGTACAGTAAAAATGTTCTTACTTTCAATCTTTTTAATCCTCACTTCCCAGGGGATGAATAACACCAGTATATTGTATAGAACTCTTGAAATCTTCTTCAGCAGCTGCGAATGCAACAAAGCACCCAAGATTTAAACAGGGATTTTATTAAGTTTTCAAAATTTCTGTGTAATTAAATGATTAAGATGTGAGTGTGTTAAGTCTTTCAGAGTGGTTTGGTGTGAAATGCTCAACTCTAACTGAGTCAGAATTGTTCACATTGGTGGTGATAGGAACCAGACGTCCACCTCTAAAAGCTCCCCCACAGAAAGTTATTACATGAAATGGTTATGAATACACTGCCTGATACCTGAGACATTGTTTGATGGTGATGAGGTAAATGCAGGGTGTTTTAGAGCCAAATAGTACCTGAACAAAGCTAAGATAACATTTTCAGTACAGAGTGACATTATAATGTAACACTTGTATTCAACCAGCTGGTAATAAACTGTCTGCTGCTTACTTATTACTACTTATTAAACAATAACCAGACTAAATTAAGCATTTGTGAATTATGCATTATAATCTTTTGCACAACATGTTATGAGCCCATTATTATGCCCTTATTAAACCTTATCAAGGCAATAGCTGGTGACTAACTTGCTTTTTAATTGCTTTTATTAAGACGTATCAAGACAGATTTAAGACCGTTAGCAATTCACCCTAATAATGTAGTAATAATCATCCAGTTAGTTACCAAGTACATATTTTTTAAGGCTTAATAAGCACATTTTAATGGCATTGGAGGGTCTCACATACTGCCGTGTTTCCAAAACATGTTTTTTTTGTAACATTATTTTACCATCATCAATGTTGTATATAAATACTCAGAAGACACGTGGAGGTTCACATGTAAATAAAATGTCTATATTTGCATTGTAGACATGATGACCCCTGGTTCCTATCACCACCACTGTAAAGAAATTCTAAGAAGATCTATTTCATATCAAAACAGTCTGAATAACTTTGTTTACATCTGCGTGATCGAAACATGCAGACGTTCCCCTTTAATAAATCTTTTTAATATGGGTAATTGTCTCCAGTACGCTGCCTTTATGATAAAGCCATCAGGTAAAAATTCATCACACACACACACACACACACACACACACACACACACCATTCTATAATGGATGTCATGATGTGTTTACCAGATGTGCCTCAATCTCAGAGATAAGACAACCAAAAAAAAAAACACACATTCTCAAAACAAATGTGCATTATTTCTGATTTCAATATACCATGAAGCTATCACCATAATTAATAATTCATCATTGGGTCCACTTACTAAAAAGTCAATTAATTTTAATGGTGCTTGGGTAGCCTTGCCGAATGCCACTGGAACATTTTAATTAAAACAGGCCATAACACCAGACTATAAATCTGAGCACAGCGTCGGAGCGTCAGAGCAAGAGAAAGATAGAGCAGGAAAGAGAGTGAGAGAGAGGGAGAGAGAGAGAGAGAGAGTGTCATGAAAAGGTGCAGGACCTTAACCCAGCTGTTTAATAACAAATAGAAGAGGAGAAAGACGCACTAAAACATCAACTTTAATAGAAACAGTCACCTTTTCAGTCTTTAAAATGTGTTTTAAAAGTAAAGTTGACTTGACTATCTGGCCATCTCATTAGGAACACCTACCTTGTTCTTCCCCTTACTGGCCATTTTATTAGAAACACCCACCTTGTTTTTCCACTTACTGGCCACTTTATTAGAAACACCGACCTTATACCTACTATATGTAGGTGTATAATTACAGATTTTAGTCCATCCTTTACTGCACTTTTTATCATTCCTCTCTACAGCATTCATCATTTGTCAGTTTCTGACCACAGGACCACTGCTGTCTAGATATTTTTGGGATGGTGGTCCATTCTCAGCACAGCAGTGATACTGACATGGTAGTGTGTGGTGCTGGTATGTGTGTACCTGACATCGTACCATTGCTAGGATTTTTACACACATCAGTTTCACTGCTAGGTTGAGAGTGGACCACCACCTAAAAACATCCAGACACAAAGCAGCTCTGTGGTTGGAAACTGACCAGTGATTTAGCACTAGAGCAGTGTTACACAACTCCAGTCCTGGACAGCCAGTGTCCAGTACAATTTAGTGGGGATCAACAGATGAGCTACAGTCTCTAACTGTACACTAGCAAGACAGAGCTACAAGAGAGGGGTTTCTGATAAAATGGATGCTGAGTGCAGTTCAGGGAAAACCAAACTTACAGCTGAACTGAGTCTGAGAGAAGGATAAAAGTTAGTGGTGATAAACATACATCTGCCCCCGCAGCCTGGTAGCCTCGAGTCCTGGTCAGTCTGCCTTCATACTTTAACACAATCTCTCTGGCCTGCCTGAAACATAAACACAACATAATATGCTATGTTTATTTATATATTTAATTGCTTATATGCTGTAGAAATGACCAATATACATGCATATCAGTGATTGATACGTTTCAAATTCTGCAAAAATTAAGAACAAAAAACAAAAAATGACAAAAATGGAGATTCAATATACACACACACACACCCCTACACACACACGTGTGTGTGTGTGTGTGTGTAATCCAAATCTTAACCTCAAAACCTAAACAGATGGTTTTTTTTTTTATTAAACATTTAGCTGCTGTAAAAATTAAGCTTTTGTAAAAACATCTGGACGTTTTTTGTAAGGTTATCCGTTTATCTTGTTTCTGTGAATTGTGTAGCCATTATAAAGCCATTCATTTTCTGAAGACTTACCCAAACCTTAGCCAAAACTACTACTAGTGTATCCCTAACCCTAAACTTAGCTTTACACTCACTTTGAAATGTTATGAGTTCTGTTGTGGGGACCAGCTTGAGGTCCCCAGAAGGAAGAAAAGTCCCCCACAACATGAGTGTGTGAAGAGGTTTTGATTCCCACAATGTGGCATAAACCTGGTCCACACACACACAAACATGCAGATAGTCAGGATCAGCAGTCTGGGCCATAACACATTATTCCCTGTGATGCTAGCAGGGATTTATTGCCGTGGTAGGCTCTGATGAAGCCATTAATACTGAGCTTTACTGCCTTACAGGCCACATCAGTACCGTCGGCGTTCCTTCGGGATATGCAGCATGCTTTTAGCTGGGTTTCCCCTCAGTGGAGGTTTACGAACTAAAAACCTGTAAAAATCCCATTCTGGCTCTCTCCAGAAACAGACAATAAACACATTACTGCACTACAGCATGGCATTATCTGGACTGTGAGAATTCGATGAGGGGAAAAATGGGAAAGGCAAACGAATATTAAGGGCTCGAGTGGGAATGGCTTGTTTAGATATATTTACAGCATGGTGGATTACTTAAAGCCTGGGTATGAGTGGCCAAAGCTCAGTAACACACACAAAACCACAGCATCTACGCTCTGCTTAGGGACGGCAATAAACTTGTCACCTTCGGGGGAAAAGTTGCAGCGCTAGCCGGCTGGTCAGCATCTTTGTGCATTATTGCCAGGTCTAAATATCACATCAGACCTTGAGATGAAACAAAATGGTGCACACACTGATAGGAGCATTTAACAATACTGGAAAAAACTAAAAGCAATCTGTGGTCAAGTTACAACTGTTAGTGCAAGATAAAACATAAAATATATGAAATTAAATTAATTTTGTCCATTTTTATGAAAATGCTCTTGCATAAACATGTAAGTACTACATTTTATCTGTCATACACTATATGTCCAAAAATATCCAGACAGTCCTTGTAATGAGTTGAGCCGCTTTAAGTTCACCTATTGCTGATACAGCTTGTATAATCTCCATAGAAAAGCACTGACCAATAGAATTGGATACCCTGGAGCAGCCGCACATGAGCCATGTTCAATGGTGAGCGTGGGCAAGAGGGGTAGAAAAACCCCCAGAACTGGAATGCAGCAAAGCAGGGACAAACTCATTATTAATACCCTTGATTTCAGAAGAAATGCAGGTGTCTACAAACTTTTGGACATAAATTGTTTATAGCTAGCTATCAGTAGTAAATGCTTTAATGTTGTACTCTAAAGTTGGCAGTATACTTTAAATGCTCAAAGAACTAAGCGAAATCATACGACGGCTGAACAAATTCTGATGTAAATACACTAAATAAGACTCTAGCTGCATTCCAAAGCCTAGGCTGCATTTCTTGGCTGCTATGGCATAGAAGACCGTTCCAAAGTGAAGGATCCTTCGTATACAGCCTAGAAATGCAGCCTACGTTCTGAGTAATTGCAGCTTCTACGTGCGTCTCAGCACCACAGAAGGCTCCATGCAGTGATGCAGGCAACCATGTGACACCAAGTGGACCAATTGCAGTCAGAGGTGGTCTCAGAACAAACGATGCTCTGATTAGTAGCTCTAATGTTCAGCAAGCAGCACTTACTATATTGAACAAACTGTAAACATTGCGTTACTTTGGCCAAAAATATGTTTTGCTTTGAATTATATTGTCAGCTTTACCCTAACTGTAGCCAGATAAAGGGGAATTAAAGGGGAATTTCTGCAGATAGATAAAATGTAAACAGAATCATTCAGAATGGTTTGGTGTGATATTCTCCGTTCTAGAGAAACTTTAAGTCGAAATTGTTCACAGTGGTGGTGATAGGAACAGACGTCCACCTCTAAAAGCTCCCTCACAGAAAGTTTTAACATGAAAATGAATGCCCAAAGCCTGAGACATTATTTTATGATAATAGATAAGATTTTGGCCTAAAATATATATTTTTGTTTCCCAAAGAAAACATATTTTTTCAGATTTTCCATCATCAACATTTCATATAAAACTCAGAAGACATGTGTAGGTTCACTGGTGACTTTAATAGTAAATATAATGTCTATATTTGTGTTGTAGTCATGGTGACCCCTGGTTCCTATCACCACCACTGTAAGGAAATCTGAACCATTTCACACCAAACTACTCTGAATCACTCTGTTCTCAAACACTCAATTATGCAGAAATAGGTGGAGTTTCCCTTTAATAGAATGAGCGCTCTATTTCACACTGTTTAGCAATGACAACATGAATGAATGGAGCAAAAGAAATGATCCAAAATTACTTGGAATAAAATCTCATTACATGAACTTACATTTGAATTAAGAACAGAACTACAGAGTTAAAGTCGGAAATACAACAGAGAAAAACAAAATAAGTAAAAACATGAATGAATGAATGAATGAATGAATGAATGAATGAATGCACTTGTAATGTAAGACAACCTGTAACAGCTTATATGCTATAGAGTTAACAGTGTAGCTGAAAGTGAAGGTTTGCATCTTTTAGCATCCAGCACTGCTTGTTTCATATCTCTGTATCTGTGAGGGGGCTTTCTGTGTGATGTTTCGTGTCCCTGCCCTGTGGGTAACCTCAATCAGTCACCTAAATGTAGGAATACACATTACAGTCAGGATGTGACCTCAGTAAACCAGAAAAAGCGACAGATGAGTTAATGAAATAATGACTCAGATGGAGGAGCTTCTTCTTCAGGTGCCGTGTCAGAAATACGGCTGGTGCTCTTCCATGCAGAATATTAATTGTTATTTTCCATGCATCAGTACTTTCCCCTCAGTTAGCATTAAGCACCACTTAAAAGCATCTGCGAGTTCCCTTATTAAATAAATGCTGCAATGAAGAATTGAATTAAGCCTAATTTCAACATATTAATATTGTGTAATAGTGATTATAACAATCATATGCAATTGCTAATTTAAGCTTAATGATAGAATCAAATTGAATTATACTTACAAATATGTGAACAGCTGAGTTAGACAACATCTGTTATTGTCTACATACTGTGAGTTTCACTACAAAGGCCATTTTGATCCATATTCAACAGATAGACGTGTTAGAACACAGATTTTACTTAATTAATCCTCCGTACTTGATTATCTAACATGCTTAGATTTCATTTGCAATGCTAAACATGCATGCAAAAAAAATAATTTGAGTATTTCCCAAAAAATTAGACATATTTACCCTCTATAGAGACTCACTTTAAGACTTTGAGTTTGCGCCGCATTGGCCACGGTCGCGTTCGGATGTTGGCGATGAGCTCCTTCTGCACCTGAATGTTCTGGAACAACTCTTCTGGGTCGTTACTGTCCACTCGCTCTTCGTCCTTATCCTCATCATCGGAAGGTCTGGCAATAAAGGATTTTTACCCAAGTAAAGTAAGAGTGAAATAAATTGCTTTTCTTCTTATAACCTTTACAGTCTTTTATTCAAATGTAAATGCTTTCTAATCGATAATAACACATTCACATCAACCTTGATAAATTATTTTTATTCGGCAATAAAGTATTTCTGAAAATGGTATTAATTTATGACCACGGACGTTATCACGGCATTAAGCTGTCAAATAAAAGGCAGACCTGTTGTTAACAGTGAAATTGATTGTCGCTGTTTGTGTGTAATGTTGGTATAATAGTGAAGGTTTATGGCTGCAGTACTGAACATCATTGCATTAATAGATCATCAAAGAACTATACATATAACATATAAGCCTCTATGTATGTGTATATTTCTAAGATAATTAGGTTCAATCCTGCGCTGTTTGAGGGAAAGTACTAAAACTAAAGCTCCATATATAACCGTATGCAAAAGTTTGGGCACCCCAGACAAACGATGTATTTTATAGAGGTCAAGATCGGTTAACGTTACAAGGCCTGATTGATTTTGTCGGATAAAAATATAAAAGTTAACATCAGACCTGCCCTACTTATAATGACACCGTGGTAAAGCAAAGCATCTTCAGCAGGCAACATATTGTCATTGCTGGAAAAAAAATCTTGTATTTTTGTATCTTGTAATTTTAATTAATTCATTAATTTTTTAAATAGTTTGCAAACATCAACTGACCTTTCCATGATGTGAACATTTCATGAACTGTGGTCAATAGAATGGTCCAAAATGACTTGGAAAAAAGTCTCTTTCTATGAACTTCTATTATAAGAATGTTTTCCTTCTCCCATAAAGGTGCTGATTTGAGATATGAGGTTTTGCTCAGATGATCACAATATGTAATATTTCTCATCATGAGACTGTTATGAGAGATTATTCAATCTGTTTCCAGGCATTCATGTAAAGTTATCTTGTGTAGTAAATTGATTTTACCATATGAGCAGGTAATTTTACATCCTTCAAGCATTATTCCATTAAACAAGTACACAATCTGGCAGTAAAGAGGATCAAATTACTTAAAACAAGTTCAAATGTTCATTAGTAGTTTGATCTTCTAGTATGATCCAAAAAATCTCGTAATGAGAAGTATGTGAGAAATATTGCATTTAAGAATATGTACTGAACTCACCCTGTGTTGTCCTGGTAAGGTGAGTAAATCCTCCTGCTGCTTTTCCTCATGCTCTTGTGCCGTTTGGAGGATGTTAAGGGTCGGGTCAGTGCTGTTGTTTCTGTGATATCACTCATAGCTCTGGAGTTAAACTTCTCTCTGAGTGTAGAAGGTTCCTCAGGCTGTGTGTAAGTGTGTGTGATGCTACGTGTGTGATTGGATGCTGCACTGGACGGCTGCTCGGAGCTCTCTGTGAATTTAAGCAAACGCACTCACTCCAATCACAGCTGCTTCAGTCTCTTAAAGGGCCGGCGCTGCCTCTCTGACATACACACTGCTGGTATACAGGTTCACCAGAGATAGATCATTATTATATTATCATTATCATATTAACTAAAAGTTTTAAAATGTTTTAAACAATATTTGATTAAACTCTGGAATTTCTGAAAAAATCATAACAATTCCTAGAACATCATAGTAGATTTGGAACAATTCACAGTACATACTGAAAATTTTTTGGTAGTTACTGAATAGTTCACAGTAGATATTAAATAATTTATAGCAGATCCTGAATAATTAATAATAGATACTGAATGATTCATAGCAGATATTGAATAATTCATTGTAAATACTGAACAATTCATAGTAGATAATGAATAATTCACAGTATTTACTGAATAATTCATGAGATACCTAATAATTAATTGTAGTTACTGAATAATTCATAGTAAATACTGAACAATTCATAGTAGATAATGAATAATTCATAGTATTTACTGAATAATTCATGAGATACTGAATAATTCATAGTAGATACTGAATAATTCATGAGATACTCAATAATTCAAAGCAGATACTGAATAATGAATGGTAATTATTGAATGATTCATAGTACATACTAAATAATTCATAGCAGATACTGAATAATTCATAGCAGATACTGAATAATTCATAGTAGTTACTGAATAATTTATAGTAAATACTGAACAATTCATGGTAGTTACTGAATAATTCATAGCAGATACAGAATAATGCATAGTATCTACTGAATAATTCATAGAAGATACTGAGTAATTAATGGTAGTTACTGAATAATTCATAGTACATACTGAATAATTCAGAGCAGATACTGAATCATTCACACTAGATACTCAATAATTCATGGTAATTACTGAAAAATTCATAGCAGATTATGAATAACTAATGGTAGTTACTGAATAATTAATAGTACTTCTTTAATAATTCATAACAGATACTGAGTAATTCATAGTCGATAGTGAATACTTCTTTGTAGTTATTGCTTTATTCATAGTAGATGCTGAATAATTAATGGTAGTTACTGAATAATTCATAGAACATCATAAATAATTTATAGTCGATACTGAATTATTCATGGTAGTTACATATAATAAATCCAAGTAGATCTTGAATAGTAGTAAGTTTTTTTAAAAATATATGACCATTTTGAATTTGATACCATCAACACGTTCCAAAAAAAGTTGGGAAGGGGGCAACAAAAGGCTTGTAAAGTTATGTAATGCTAAAAAAACACCTGGTGGTTAATTGGCAACAGGTCAGTAACATGATTGGGTGTAAAAAGAGTCTTTCAGAAGTAAAGATGGGGAAGGGTTCACCGCTCTGTGAAAGACTGCATGATCAAATCAAAAGTGCAACAATTCAAAAAAGATTCTGAGATTTTTCTCTAGAAAAATCTCTGTATGCAAGGGACAAGGCCAAAAACCAGTATTTCCCGGCCATGATCTTTGGGCCCTCAGGCGGCACTGCATTAAAAGCAGATTGTAGTGATTATTCTGTAGTGGAAATCACTGCATGGGCTCAGGAACACTTCTGATAACCACTGTCTGTGAAAACAGTTTGTTGCTGCATCCACAAATGCTAATTAAAACTCTTAGGAGGATCCAGAAATGCTGCCACCTTCTCTGGGCATGAGCTCATTTAAAATGGACTGAAGGGAAGTGGAAAAGTGTTCTGTGGTCTGACGAATCAACATTTGAATTTCTTATTGGAAATCATGGACACTGTGTCCCCCGGGCTAAAGACTACTCAGCTTGTTATCAGTGTACAGTTCAAAAGCCAGTATTCATGTTGGTATAGGGGTGCATTAGTGCACATGGCATGGGTGATGTGCATATCTGTGAAGGCACCATTAATGTTAAACAATATGTACATGTTTTGGTAACATATGCTGCCATCCAGATGACGTCTTTTTCAGGGAAGGCCTTGATTATTTCAGCAAGACAATGTCAAACCACATTCTGCACATATAACAACAACAAAGGAGTCTGGGTGCTAAACTGGCCTGACTGCAGTCCACACCTGTCACCCACTGAAAACATTTGGCACATTATAAAATGAAAAATATGACAAAGGAGACCCTGAACTGTTCATCAGCTGAAATCCTACGTTCAGCAAAAATGTGAAAACATTTCACTTTCAGAACTACAGCAGTGTCTCCTTAGTTCCCAAATGCTCACAGAGTGTTGTTAATAGAAGTGGTGATGAAACACAGTGGTAAACTTTTTTGGAATGTGTTGTTGGCATCAAATTCAAAATGGACATATATTTTTCAAAAAACAATAAAATTTCTCAGTTTCAACATTTGATTTGTTGTCTTTGAAGCATTTTCAATGAAATATAGGGTTTAAAGGATTTGCACATCATTGCATTTTGTTTATATTTACATTTTGCACAGTGTCACAACTTTTTTGGAAATGGGGTTGTAGTTCATAGTAATTATTGTTTCATTCATAGTTGTTTATGGTTAGTTAATAGCAGATACTGATTCAGTCATAGCCATAACTGAAACTGACCAGTGATGAAGGGCTAGAGAATGACTAACACAATTCGTGCATCAGCAGGTGAGCTACAGTCTCTAACTGCATGGTGGAAGGTGGAGCTGCAAGAGGAGGGCTTCCAATGACCATTGAGTGTTCACAACGATAATATAACACTAAAGCTGGCAAATATTGCTTGAACAAATTTCTCTTTGTGTAGCTTCGTCTGCTGATTTGGCATAATACTGTAAATGCACAATAGAGACAAATCTCGATTCCTGCTGTTAGTTTTTGTATTGCAGTAATTGACTCGATAGACTTGTGTCTAAGTGTCTAAATAGAGAGGACATATCCCCTCTCAAATATGTGGTAAGAATTTTAAGCAGGCCCACATGGTTTAATATGTCCAGTTTTCTTCGTAAGGGGGCCTCAGGGTGCACTGAAACCATAGAACATTGCCGTGAAGAAGAAAAAGAGAGTTAATGCTCCCCTTTAGGAAAAGAAAAGGGAAGCTCCGGCATGATAATATGGTAATGTGCCATATGCAGCGGCGGCTGCCCATCTCATCCTGCTGCCGTGTGAAATAAAGCGCAGTAGGTCCAGGCTGGAAAAGATCAGATGGATGAGAAAAGTTCAGTCATTTCAGTGTTGATGTGGAATGTATATTTCAGTTCAATAACAATTCAGTTATTTATTTGTTCAAGCAGCAGTATGTATGTATGTTTTGTATATGTATATACATCTAAGTATGTTGATAGAATTGCTACACTCTGAGGAAGCCACACATGAGCCTAAGGTCACCATGCACAATGTTGCGTACATGCTAGAGGGGTATAAAGCCCCCCTGCATTGGGCTGTAGAGCAGTGGATCTGTGTTCTCTGGATTGATGGAGTTCCATCCAAAACCTTTGGGATAAGTTGGAGTGATCCAGAACTGACCATCCAATATCAGTACCTGCTCAATGAAATCCTCACAGCAATGTTCCAACATCTAATGTGAAGCCTTCCCAGAAGAGTAGAGGCTGTTACTGCAGCAAGTCACTAAAACCCAATACCCTTAATTTCAGATGAAACACTGGATGAGAGGGTGTCTAGTAACCTCTGAACATACAGTGTTTGTAACTACCTACCATAAACAAATGCTTAGATGTTGTACTCTTAAGCCGGTGCACATTTCAGCAACTCTAGAGTCTCCATGCAGGCAATCATTTCTACAAAATTGTAGACATAGAGTCAGGCCCATAATTTTTGGGATGTTAAATTGATGTTATTTTAGATGTCTATCACAACGTATTGGAACTGAAATTCAATCATGATTGTGAGCTTTGAAAAAGTATAAACTTTTCGCTTCAATTTTTGGGTATGATGGGAACAGAAGAGTATAGAGAAGCTGAGGAACTGCTTCTGATCCAAAGCACATCACTTCATCTGTTAACATGGTGGAGGTAGTGTTATGGTGTCAGCAGGCATGGCTGCTAATAGGACTGATTCCCTAATATTTATTGATGATTGATGAGTGACTGCAGACAAAAGCAGCAGGATGAATTCTGAAGTGGTGATGTGAAATTCTGAATAAATACACCCGTAATCAATAATCAAATAGATAAGGCATGTAATCAATAATCAGATTTTCAGGTTAGACACTGCTTAAAAGAGAATATTAATTCTTACTAAGGGGTAACATAAGAAAAGCTTAGGCCATAGTCTGTGTGCATTCCAGCTTTAGTGAACTCCTTGAACTTACATGCAGGTGTCTTGAGTGAACTTGATATCATATAAGAATCACCCTGTAGAATGGGATGGACTGGTACGAACTGGATGAAACCAGCTTTTTAAAAAGGAGTGTTGTATGCATTTGGAAATAAGGGGCGGGGGATGCTAAGCATTATAGTGGTTTTGTATCTAATGGAAACTAAAAGAAACATTAAGTTTGATAAGAAGGATGGGGTAATGTAATATCAACCCAGATAAAGAGTATAAAAAAGCACTATTCAGACATTGTATTGCACAGTCGGGTTTCTGGAGTCCTTGTGCCACTTGATGCTCAAATAAACCAAAGATGCCTTTTCCCTCTTTTCTAAAATAAGTCTTTTTTTTCATTTTTGATACTTTTTGAGAACTTAGAGTTAAAGTAGTTATTAGTGTAAGTATTTAGTCAGTATTAAAGATTTTAATATTATGTCCAAGACCTGGGGTTGAAGGAAAGGCTCTTGGTCCTGACAGTGGAGAGCTATATTATCTGTTCAGATGCTTCAAAACTGATTGGACAGCAACCTCACAATGCAGATGGACAATGACCCGAAGCACACTGTGAAAGCAACCCAAGACATGGAATGTTCTGCAGTGGCCCAGCCAATCATCTGACCTCAATCCAACTGAACTTACTAACTGAAGACAA